TCAATTTCCCCCCTTCCCCAATATCACTTTGTATTATAAAAATAAATAAGAAATAAATTGTACAAGTTATAACCATATGGTATTTGCATAGCTTGAAATCAACAACGGAGAATTCTGAAAACAAATTATTCATGGGTGTCATAAATACAGTCACACTAAACATACTTTAGAGCCCTAATTGCAACGCAACCTATGAGTTGGATCTGCCATAGAGGCCCAATAGCAGACTTGTCCTATTCCTATTGGAGAGCACAGCCCAGGAACACTAAATAAAACAAATGGACAAACGCTTTTACTAAAAAAACAAAACCCTTTTACAAACAAACCAGAAAGCCTTACGAATCCATTTGACCAACATGGACAAACGCTAGTGGTTTCTTCGTTTCAGTGCTTTCTCAAAATCAGAGAAAAAGTAAAAACCCTTTTCTCTCTTCTTTTAAGCTGTTTGTCGGTTGTCAAAACCCTAATTTAAAGGCAGCACCAAAAGAACATGTACTTCCAAAGAAGAAATGGACATCTAAGAACTATGCTTCAAAAGAAAAATTCCACAACGGGATATGTCAGAAACACAAATCCAATTTCATTTACACAAAATGTGGAAGGATAGGATGTAGAATGTGCTTAGAATTCATGCAGGATATAAGCTTATCATCTAAGTACCCTGGGATTCATACAACTAACTCGATCCTCTCATAAAAAATGGTGATCTCCAAGGAAGTGTGGAGTGCAAAGGTAAACAAAAAAATAGCTTTGGAAAGAAACCCCTATATTCTAAGCTCTTCAGTTTCGCAGCATCAGGATCAAGATAATATATACATGCATCTAACAATCAGACTTCAAAATATAAATGGAGGTAGACATACCTTAAGCATTTCATTAATCCAGAGAAGTGAAACGTCTCGATCTTTTCACACTCCGTACGGAAAACAAGCATTGAGCTAGGCAATGACCATCGAAGAATATTGTATCAGAAGATGATGTAACAGGTCAAAAAACAAGACTGCAGGAGAGAGAGGGAGGGAAGGAGAGAAAGAGAGAGATCATCATCAAGACATCAACTAGCTCTCCTATAAATATACATCTCTCAGTTGATTGGTTAAAAGATCAAGAGAACTTAGTCAATGATTGAAAAGCTTTCTGCATGGAAAGCTTTAAGTCACATGATATAGATATGGAGTAGGAATAGATTACCATCATATAGATCTGCCCCATGAATATATACACCAGATGATTGGCTATGATATAAAGAATCTAGTCAAAGCTCTAAATTTTCTGTGCAAAGCTGATAATCACATGGTTGGAGTGGGTAAGATTGAAAAGAAGTTCCAGACCAAAAAAAATAAAAAATAAAAGAAGAAGTCATTATTAACAGATAAAGTATGAAGGTATCCCCATATGCTTTCCCTTGTCATCTCCTTCCAATGATTGTTATATACTATAAAAAAGACATAAATCTATTATTACAAACGGCAATTCATATTATGAGGCCCCACATGTGTGTAAACATAGACCTCACAACATATGGTGCTTATACTTTGCTACCAAAACTAAGTTAGACCATGTCTTAGAAATTAAAATACACATGTTAAGTAATTGTTCTGCTAAGAGACAAACTAGGCATAAGCTGGAAAGCTTTGCAGGGTTCCAGATTATGACTTTGTTATGTGGAAATGGCAGAGAAAGTTAATGCTGCCAACCCCAACTTTGACAGTTCTGAGAGAGGAATCATTAAACAATTAATCAAATCCAGATTTCACTTTTCTGGCTCTATATAATATCCAAGACGGTGATCAATCCTTCAAAAGCAAAAAAGGAATCTTTGATTTGTTCTTTAATAAATCCATGTTTGGTCATAATTCCAGGACAAACTACTATTCGTTTTCCACACAATCAAATTTTTAATTAGAATGATTAGGCTAAACCTAGCAATATTCCAAAGGATATACAAGACCGAGAATGAAGTCAAAGCCAGCGTCAATGTCCATGGTCATGCTATCAACAGCCTAGCCACTAGCCAGGACCAAACACTGAGGGGGGAGAGAGAGAGAGAGGGTAAATGGTCATCCTCAAATTTCTACATTTTTTAAAATTGGCAGATAGATTTCAAACTATGGAGTCGTCCCTGTCAAATCCAAAACAAATTTGGAGGCCGTGTTTTTCATCTCATTCAAAAAAGTGCATGATATATAAGCATTAAGAGTCATGCTTAAAGCATTAGACACCAAGGCAGACAGCTAGCTTTCACATACGAATAGAAGCTCATTACCTACTAAGCGAACATGATTCATGTTTGGATTATATGATTTAAAAAGTCAACAAAATACGTTTACATTCAACAACAAAGTGGACTTTTTATTTGATTCCAAGATAAGGTGTACCCAAAGACACATTTAGATAAGAGGATATATTACTACAAATACAGTAACCCCTTTGAAATTTTATGTAATAACACATGCATCCCCTTAGACTAACACTTACCTCCTTGATCTAAATCGTTGTGAACATTACAAACTTACTCCAAAGCAAGGTTTCTCTCCATTGTTTTTGAAATTATTATTGTCATTATTAAATGCCGCATTGAGAAGTATGTTCTGTTTGTTCATAACAAAATCTCAGGAATGCCACTGCAATTTAGTCAAAAATATCCAATCCTAAGTTTCATCTCGAAATTCGTAAGAGAAGCTAGTTATAGAAATTAAAAGGAAAAGTAAATTTGAATAACCAGTTCTCACATGCTGAAAGACTGACAATTTTATGCAATCAAAATAAACCACATTATTTCAGCACTGTTTATGCAGTCCTAATCCTAATACAATCAGAGTTTGCACTGTACAACAGAATCATGAAGCATCCAATCCAATGAGCATAGATGCATTTCCTAGAAGTTTAGCAACTACAAAATTTCTGCACGTAAGTCATGACATCATTAAGTCCAGTGGGACTTTTCTGTAATTCCTATACAAGAAGCTAAGATTGCTAGTCTTCCATTATTGTCTCGAACATGGGGCAGATCTGATGTTTATTAAGTGGAAGAGTATAAACATAAATCCCGGGAATTTAAGCAACCAAATCGAGCATCAAAAGAATAACCATACATTCAGTATATACTGTGCATAAGTGTTCATAATGTCATTACTAAATTGCCATCGGATAGCAAGAAACTTCCTATTTGCAAAGAGAGGCACTATGTTCCTGAAACAACCAGAGTAAATAAGAAGTGCCATCTACAGAAAGGAAGTTAACTGACTCCAACAGGACGTCATCTCACAAATATGCCCGCCAACTTCAAGTCACCATCCTACCCTTTAGGTTGGTATCCACCATCTTAAGAGCGCCAGAGGAAGTTCCCATAGGAAGGATTGTTGCAGGGGAAGGGAAATATCAAAAACCACTAAAAGCTCAATTGATAACAATGAATATTTTTTCCTAAAGGAGAACCTTATAGACAAAAGGCTTAACCATCAACAATCATAACATAGGTACTTCACAATCATACCATAAGTATTTCACTTTCCACTGATATCCACATTTATTCTGCTTGATGAAAATCAACTGGAGGTGGTTAACCAATCAGGAATTTATAAAAATTCAAAACGAAAGAAAAAGGCTACTTATTAAGCAGGAACATATCTGAAAATTATCACATTAAAAGAAAAGAAATTAAAGTTTTTGTAAACTGCACACCAATTATGATTACAACAATTATATCAAATGTACAACAAGCTCAATTTATTCTATGAAATTAATTCTTAAAAGGAACAGGACGGTAACAGCTTTAATCATTACCAATCTAGTAATATGATTCCCTTTCCACTGGATCTCCATGTAAATGTTTATCTCAAATCAGGGCAAATACAAAAGTCCGTTAAAATTCATAACGGACAAAAAATGGATGTTCTATCAGGAAATGACTAACATTCAATGAGAAGGAAACTAACTTTAATTTACATTTTAAAACAATAATAAAATAACAAAGAAAAACAGTAACATGTGCATTAGAGAAGAGCACAATTATATTTTGTCTAAATTATGTTACAAAAGAATCAATCTGCAAAAATTCTTTTTCATATAAGTAGCACCAGTTTAGTGAGAACAAAATACATAGAGAGAGATGCAAAAAACCAAAGAAAGGTGATGAAATCTAAAGGGGCTGCTACTATTCATGCCTCTCCTGTGAACTCTCCAATATTGGTGTCTTTTACAATCCCCACTCTTGCACAACAGCTTGTTCCCCAATCAGTTTACTCAAAATAACATGTAAATATACACATGTATCCTCAACCAGTTCGAGGAAAACTTGTCTGTAACATGATGCAAAATGCTACAAGGATCACTGGCATGAGTCGCACAACAGTTAATATAAGCCTTTTCAAACTCAATATTGGCTTTTGATTTCCTTCCCCATTGCCTTACATCTATTTGTTGTTTTGGGCTACTGATCAACCACCAGGATTCAAACTATACCTCACCTAAGTAATCAGCTAGTGTGTCAAAAAAGAAAACTTTATAATTTTATGCTTCGTGTTTACATGTCTAAAATATCAGTCAATGAACAACCTACACAACAGAAAATCCAGATTCCAGGGCATAAAACTCACAGCCAAGGAATTTTTTACAAATGAAGGTCCCCTATCTCCAGAACAGAGCAATATAGTTCAAAATAATGTATTTCAAACAGACATTTCAAATGAGCAATGAGATTGGCCTTTGTGTCTTTTCCTCACTACCCTATCCAGCATCAATCTCATCCACCAAGTTCCCACAATTTCACATTGCAACATCATAATCATCTTGGCAGCTAAATTCGGAATGATGAAAAATATATAAATAAATAAACAAAACACTTCAAGAAACAGGACACTAATCAGCAATCAGAGAAAGGTCAATCACATCCAATCCACTCAAGATTTCCATAATCCATATCTAAATACCAAATACAACAAAAGAATGTTACCTTTTACTCCAAGCACACACTAGTAACAAACAAAATGGGTAACAGCCTAACTCTCCTCGGAATTTGAAATATCAACTAGACCAACTCTCTCATCCTCCGGCAAAACCGACCAATTTGGCGACTGAACCGCCCGCAACCAGAGGAAATCATCCACATTGCTCCAATTCTCCGTCTCCTCAACAAGACTGGCCTCCCTAAGCTCGTCCTCAATCCCTTGATAGCTCAAACAGTATGGCGCAAACCTCATGCCGCAACTGTCCTCAATTATAGGCCGGCTCCTCACCCTCAAATAAAAATCACTCCTTTTTGCATTGTGAATCCGAATTTGATGCGACGCCATTATAAAAACACATCCTTCAACCCCATCAATTAGAACCGAACCCGTTACAGGGCCCGTATAAACCCTACAGTTCCTTAATCTATGAACAAAAAGCGCTCTCACAGAACCTGTTAGCCTCACCTCACAGGAATCAAGGTCCGCAATCGTAAATTCTCCCAATTCCGATCCCTTAAATTTATGCACCAAAATCTCGCCTTTCTTGTTCCAAAAACCAGGGGACTGCGGAACCCTGAAACCCGGTTTCTCAGGTTTCTTCTCTTCCTCCTGCTCTTTGGATTCGAAGATTGGGTCTTTTCTGGTGGGTTTGTTCTTGAAAGCGAATTTCTTCTTGGGTAATAACTCGGAGCTCAAAATCTCGAGACTTTGCCTCAAATCTGATATCGTTTTGAGCGAGGACCGAACTTCGTACGAGGGTAAAAAATACGAGTTCTCGGCGACGAGCTTCTCGAGATCGGAAATGGAGGAGGAGATTTGGTCGAGCTGGGGTTTGACTTGAGTCGAGTCGGAGAGTCCGAGTCGACATTGAGCGAGTTGAGACTCGATGGAGCTCTTGGAGTTGGAAAAGCGGGAAAGGAAGGTTGATGTGGACTCAAAGGAAGGAGAAGAGGACGAGTCGGACTCCGCGGATCGGCGAGTGAGTGAGCTGCCTAAGCGAGTTTGGTGACGGTCGGTGAGACGGTCGAGCATTGATTGGTGCTTCTTTTGGAGGGCTGGATCCACATCTAGGGGATTAGGGCTAGACGAGAGAGCTGCTTCTTCTTCATTTTCCATCGATGGCAGCAATAAGTTTGATTGAGAAAGCTTTAAATTTGCAGAATGAGAGAAAAAGAGGGACTTGGCGACTTGGCGATTTGGCGATTTGGGTTTTGCCCTTTTATACCTTTTCCTCTGGCTCCTGTGTTTTTTTATTACCCCTTTTTAATATATATTTCCTTTTACAAATGTGGATAAAGCTAGCTTGGTCAGTCAGTGAAGTAAGTACTGAAAAAAAATAATTTTATACCATTGTTTTCTGGAGAGTTGCGGTATATGAAGTTTCCTTGTAACCCTGAAAGATCATAGTGACTTTTAGTTTCCACAACTATTGACCTCGGGACCGAAATTGCTTCCTAAAAATTTGAAGTTGAGAACGAAAAATCATAACACTATGGTCCGAGCCTCTAATAGGAAGTTACTCCAAATAAACAAGAAAGAAATATGAAACAGTAGCAGTAGATGAACAAGAATTACCTCCTAAAAAGTATTTCTGAAAGCGTTTAGCAGAATATCTTAAAAGTGGTTCCGGTTCGTGAAGAAGAAGTTGAGAAAAGAAGGCATCAAGTGGGACTTTTATGAGAGACAAAAGTACAACACCACCGTACCCGCAACAGATCCATACTTCACAATGCCATTCACCATTTTAGGGATTAAAGAAGACATCAAATGGACTTGAGAAGAAAAAAAATATCAAATTATCCTACCTACAACAGATCATTATAAACAAATTGTCTGAAAGAGCACTTGATCAATGATTTAAACAAAAAAAATTCCAGATTTCTAATTTTCATGGGTAGACTACATGGTATTTGCCGGATACATATGGATCATGCAGCCTTCTCAGCAGCTTCTGCAGCTGCTTCTTCCTCTTGCAACTTAATCAATGACGGAGGTGGTTTGACAACAATGCTCCTCTTCCATTGTCGATCGAACTTCCTTGACAACCTCTTACCGATTCCCTCCTCAATCTCTCTTTCTCGTTTAACAGTAAGCAGGCGAGCAATCTACAAATCAAAGCCAAGTTCACATAAGTACAATCCCAAGCTGATCTGAAACATTAACAAGAGTAGCCTCCCAAACAACCTCAAAAACTCAACATTTGCACAAAAGAGATAGCAAACAAATAACAGAATTATAATAACCTAGCAATCTGTACTCAGATGGCATTAATGAATTGAAAATGCTGTGAAGACATCAAAACTCAAGCCCCAGGTCATCTCCCCACCCAAAATTAGAAGTTGCACCTACAAGAAATAGAATCTAAGTTTTTTTTTCTAAACAAAGGGCATGCTTAGTAGTTGTAGTCTTCTAAACATTTTGCAGAGTGAACACTACAAGATGAAACCAAAACAAAAAACAAAGAGAAATGAAAAAGAACCAGCAACACCATGATCTTAGCCACAAGTATTTCCAACAATCTAAGCATCATATAGTTTATACTATCAAATTCATAAGCTCCTTCAGATTTCTACCACAACGCATACCGATTCAATAGGCACTTTACAGTGAATTCGAATTTAGAAATCCAAATTTATCTAAGCCAATCTTAATCACTACGCCCTGACAATGAAAAATAATCAGAAAATTCCCATTTCCTTCCCCATCATTTTCTCTCTTAAAGCACTTTTTTTGTCTTCTGATAAGCTAAGGAAAATAGAACCCACATTTCATAATTGCATTCAATCTATGAAAATTAATTCTTTGAAAAATAAAAAAAAATTACCCTTTTGCGCATTCGACGGAACTCGCTGGATGTGAACTCGTTGCGAGCCGATTTCTGGAGGCGAAGCATGAAGAGCTCACCTTTGAGCTCAACCACCTCCTCGTTGATTTCTTCGGTGGTTTTGGTTCTGATTTCCTTCATCTCTTCTTCTCTCTTGGCCATCATCACCACCGAAGACGACGAGCAAGGCCTCCGAAACGACGCCGTTGGGAGACGAACGACAGTGTTCGGGCAAGCGCGTTGGAATCGCAGGCCATTGAACGAGGACTTGGGGATTGGCGAGAGCAGCTTTGCGGGGAATGTAACCGTTGAAGGTGGAGCTATGGAGATTGCGCCCAACATCGTTGTTCAGCTTCTCTCTGTCTCTCCACTTCAGTGCTTCTGGCTTTGGGATGTAGATAAGGCTGATAAATCTTCTTTCTTTCTTTTTTTTTGGGTGCTGCTTTGATTTGAAAGCAAAAAATTCGTAAGTAAATTCCACCAAAATACTTTGTCAATGAAATTCCCAATTTAACCTTAGAATATTTTTATTTTTAAATTCATCAAACCCACTGGCCTAGGTATGGATTGGTTCGGTCCCAACGAGAGTCCAACTCGTTAATTAACCAATACTTTTTCGTTTAAAAACTTTGGGCACCTAAAATAATTTGATGGGAAATCAATCCTTATGTCTTTTTCAACGAAATGAAAAATGAGAAAAATACTATTTATTTTATTTCTCATATTTGATTTGGGCAGTAATTGAACAAGTTTGTTTAGTTTTTTTTAATTATACCCTTAAATTAAAAATCTGCAATAAATAATAAAAGAAAGCCAATAGTCTTGTTACTGGATAAAATTACGAAGGGAAAAACCTTTCCGCAAACTTGAACTTAGAGCATCTCCAACCGATGTGTCAAAAATGCCACATAGATATTTAACGGTTAGAAATAAGGGAGTTTCACTAAAACACCCAAAATGGAGGTTGAAATTATAAAAAAACTCAACACCCAAAACACTTTATAAACACACCCAAAACTCATCATTACACATACTCAAAACCCATTTATAAACACACTCAAAAAGTTGACTTTGGGATTGATTTTGGGTGTGTTTCTATGTTTAAATAATGCTTGGGTTTTTTTATAAATACATGTCTAGGATTGGGTTTATTTATAAATTTGTATAGAAATAACATCTCAAATCACTCTAACCGATGTGTCAAAGCTGATGTGGAATGAAGGCTGGAGGCTGATATGTTATTTTTGACATCCCAAAAACAAGATGTCAAATTAATATTTTAATATTTTTAAAAGATAGCTGGCTGTTACTTTTTTTTTCTTCTTTATCTTAAATGATTTGACTGTTACAATAATTATTTATTTGACATATCGAGTGGAGTGTAAAACTGTGTAAATATCAAATTGCCACATCAGTCATCAAATTTAAATTTGACGTTTGACATTTGACATCTCCCTTGGAAATGCTCTTACAAACATTTCTTGAGAACCAAATGCATCCTTAAATAATTAAAAGAGATGATGCATTCTTGCACCAAAGTCCTAGGTTTGATTATTCTCTCTCACATTCTCAATATCGCTTGTATTTATTTATTTTTTTTTAAAAGGAAACGAAAAGAGAGGGAGTAGTCATTCAAGTGCTTGGGCTAAGGGGTAAGGCCATCTCTAGTCGTATGGCTAAATGTAGTCCATGACTAAAAATTTAGCCCTCCCAAATATTAATTTTTTAAATAATAGTGCATGACTACATTTTTCCATCTCCAGCCATGTATGGCTATACTTTAGAGTCCTTCATATTTTATTATTTTGAGAAAACCTATGGTACAACACTCATACATTCCACAACTGTGTATTGTTTAATTTAATTAAACTAATATTTAGAGTCAATATTCCATATATAACAAGATTTTTTATAAGATTTTGTGTCCACGTGGCACGTCTTATCCTGAATGAATCTTAATAAATTTTCCGACTATGATTTCCGAGTGACACGTGTTGAATTTTTTAATAATTTTTTCTTAAATAACACGAACTGAAAACATTTAAAACATTTAAAAAGTATGTGTGAAAACATGAATTGTGTGTAGACTAATCTCACCTAATCCTCTAGGACTTTGTCCCCTTTTTTTGTACTTGTTTCCCTCTTTCTCCTCTCTCATCATAATAAAATTTAAAAAAAAAAAAAAAAAAAAAAAAAAAAAAAAAAAAAATGGTCTGACCTCCAACCGTCATGACCATTAATTTTTTATAAATTTTTCTTAAACAACACGAATTGAAAACATTTAAAAAGGCTTTATATATATATATATATATATATCCAGCTGATGTCATCGATGACATCGGCACTTTTAATGTTGGCTGAATATGCATTTGCACGAGATGATTCGTTCTCTTGACAACACTTGATAATTTATCTTCTTTAAAAGCACATGCATGGGGCCTACAAAAAATTTGGCATAGGCCTAAGCTAGGCTACATGTGGCCCGGTTGGAGGGCTAAAGAGCCAAATGTAGCCCTCCAAATTTGGCCAAAATTTTATTTAGTCCATAACTGGAGATGAGCTTTGCATTATTTTAAAGTTATATTTGAGGTATAGCTCATAGCTGGAAATAACCTAAGTCTTACATGAAGCCCAACTGGGCCGGATTACTAATTTTATTTTTGTTTCAGGCCGAACTAGTATTGAAAAGCAGCTTGGCAGAGCACGTGAACGTGATGAGGTGATGTGGAGTCAATATTTGCTTAATTTATCCAATTCTATTTTTATTTTTTTCATGAATATTAAAATCAGTTTAATTTTACCTCCATTTATTTATCGATTTATTAATTTCGGTAATTTTCTCATTTCCTTTCGTTCCCCTTCCTCCTCTCTCTCGAAAAAAAACTCAACCTTCATTCTTTCCAAGCTCAACTTCCGAACGAAACCCTAACAATTCAGACGCACAGAGAGAGAGCAAACCAGTTGAGCAAGCGACCCAATTGTATATGGCATGCGAGTCGTTGAGTTGAATCGGCGAAAGAGGATCTGAGTGGTCGGCGATAATTGATATTGGGTATTGACCTGGTCTGATGGGTGCTGCGGGCTCCAAACTCGAGAAGGCTCTCGGCGACCAGTTCCCCGAAGGCGAGCGATATTTCGGCCTCGAGAATTTCGGGAACACTTGCTATTGTAACAGCGTTTTGCAGGTTTCGTCCTCATCCGTCAAATTGTGTCATTTCATTAGCAAACTTTTCAAATTAGGGTTTTTTATTTTATCGGTATGTATAATTCTGTGGTATAATGAGAATGACGTGAAGTGTTTGCAAATTATGAGCTGTGATTGTTTCTAATTCAGTAATGGTGAAAGTTAGCTTAATCGGATTGGATATCGTAGTTCAGCGGCTGATTTTTGTGGTTGTTCATGATCGTTTAGATGACTGCTTAGCAAATTTAGCAAGTGCTTGGTTTGTGGTTGATGTTGTCCTCGCGTTCTTTAATAACGTTAACAGTCAGCATCCAAGGTTTTCGCTGACGTCAAAAAGTGTGACCATTTTCTGCTTTGCTGTTCAGCTTTCCAGTGGCGGTGCAAAGTGTATTTCTGGGTTCCGGATGTAATTTTTGAAATGTTAGCACATCGTGCAATGACATGCTGCTATTTTGTTTGTCTAAATGGATGAGCGCTGGATGAATCCCTCTTAGCCGCTCTTGTCTTCCCAATTTACTACAATTGATATTCTTTGGATTAAGATGGTTTCCGTAATTATTATATTTACTCTGTAAATTGAGAATCATGTATGAAGAGAAGAAAGTGTTTGTCAAACACAGTTATGAGTGTCTAGGCTAGGTACTTGTGCTGCATTTTAACTTAATATTGTGACTAAAATTCAGTGTTCAGTTTAACCTTGGATGCTTCGGGAGGGAGTTCACATGGTCTTTCAACATATCTAATGTGTAATTGGGTTTTTGTTAGACACTCAGTATGTTTACCACTTCTATCTTTGCTGATTGCATTCTGAAAATATTAGTGCCAATATTTTTCAACTAAATATGTGTATTTTACTATTGGGTAAAACCATTACTTAAAATATAAATCAATGTCTTATCCTGTTTAGGTTGTTGGAATTCAATTTTCTAAAGTTATCGTCAATGCCTTATCCTTTTAATTTCTTCATGCAGGCACTTTATTTTTGTGTTCCATTTCGTGAACAGTTGCTTGAATATTATTCCAGCAACAAAAGTACTGGGGATGCAGAAGAAAATCTCTTGACATGCTTAGCGGACTTGTTTACACAGGTAACAACTATGCTAGATATATATGGTACCTGTACATTAATTGATCATCTCAGGTGGGACTTGCAATGTTAGGGTTGATCTTTGTATTTTTGTACTCTGTATGCCACTGTATCTGTACAGCCCTCCTTCCTCTGCTGTTCTGCCATGTCTAATCTATGGGAAACAACTGAGTTATCTGTTCCAGTTTCCCTAATACAGGAACGTTTATCTTGGGACTAACAGCTTTTTCTTTCCTGTATATGATATGTCAAATCTATTTTATTTTACGTTATATACAAGAATTGAAATGTAAGCAAGCCCAGTATATATGACTTTTGAGAATTGTGAAAAACAAATCTCGAAATATGTGATGCTAGTTTCCCAAATGTTCATGACATGGAACATATGCCTTCGGCAATTGTTTAGTTTTCTGTGCTGTGATCAATAGTTTATTATTTCTTTGTTGTAGATAAGTTCCCAGAAGAAGAAAACAGGTGTCATTGCTCCAAAGCGTTTCGTTCAGAGATTGAAGAAACAAAATGAGCTTTTCCGTAGCTATATGCACCAGGTATGTCTTTCCTTCTAACTACCAAAATGTGCTTTTTCCTTTGTTATGGAAATTTTTTAGAAATTTATGTCCGAACGTTAAAAGATTTATTTGAATAATTGTAAAACAATATTATTAAGGATTTGAATTAGAAGAGGTATACCATCATCTGTTGAAAGCTTAAGCACGAGCCTTATGGGATGAGTAATGCTAGTGTATCCATGGTGAGGGCTACCATTTGGCAGTTAAACTGTGATTGTGTGTATTTGAAGTGGCTGTGTATGATTGAATCGTGATGACAATTATATGACATGGTTGTATATAATTGAACTGTTATGGCAATTAAATGAAGTGATTGTAAATCGTTATATATAGCTGGACCTCTTTCTACACCCTGAACTACAATTTGAGAAATAGCTAAAAAATCACAATTTTGAAGTCTCATAATTGTTGGCATTTGTGCAGGACAGTTGTAATGTTGCACATTTGTGAATGTTATACACAAGGCCAGATTTTGAATTTGGAGATTTTACAGAAGTTCCATTATTTTGTATAATGGTTGTGAATGTAGTTGCAGATGGCCTTTGCTGATACACAAATTTATATATGTGATGTAATGATGATACTCTATCCCTCTTGGTATATCGGTGCATGTCTCCTTGTTGCATTGTTGTGAAATCTTTCTGTCGAATATTTGAAGAGAATGTTACTTATCTTTTTCCTAGCTTGTTGATCAATATCTTTCATTTCTCATTACACACAAATATAATGTTGCATATTAATAAATGTATCTATCAATTTTATTCTGGTTTTGTAGGATGCTCATGAGTTCTTAAATTTTTTGCTTAATGAACTTGTTGACATACTGGAGAAAGAAGCCCAAGCAGCAAAAAGTGATCAAGAAACTTCTTCACCTCCTGAAAAGATGGTAAATGGTCCAAAGAATGCTCAGGCCAATGGTTCTCATAAAGATCCCTTAGTTACCTGGGTGCACAAAAATTTTCAGGTGATTTTGCTCTGCCAAATCATTTAGGGGGGTGTATTCAATTAAGATTTTAATAGATTGTAATTACAAGATTATAATGTAATGGATTTCAACCGGATTTGTAATTACAAGATTTTAATAGATTGAAATTACATGATTTTACTTATGATTTTAATAGATTGTAATTTTCACTTAAAGGATTTTTTTGTATTCTCCAAAATAAATTTGCCCAATGTAGATTGGATTCGGGTTAGCCACGTTCGCCTAAACCCATGACCACTCCCAATTTTTGTCAAGACTTAAACCAAAAATTGTGGGGTAAAAACACACTTTTTTTCAACTGCTTGTGGCATAATCTCATATTTGGTTTGCTTGTAGTTTTTTTGGGCAACTGATACTTTCGGACCTGTACTCCTCCTTTATACTTCACCTTCATTTTTTTTTCTTCATATTTTTCCTTTTTCCTTCTCTTCTTCTTCCATCATTTGTGTTTTTTTCTTTCTTATTTGGCTTTGGTAAATTATTGATGTGCTTTTCAATGGAGGTAATGTGTTATAAATATAGTGGCTGATTCTTCTTTCAATATTGTCATCTCCGCTAACTCTCTGGCTCTCTCTCCTCCCTTGGCTTTCTTCTCCATCCATCAATTTCTCTATGGCCTCCTTCACCCTTTCCTTTCTCACCACCACAATAATCTTCTCATCCTCTACCCACTTCACTTGAAATTCCACACCAACTCTCACTGCAATAACTTAGAATCTGTTCAACAGTTTCTCATTCATAACTTGCAGGTCTGGGCAGCCAGACCCCCACTTTGTTGGTCTTTGTCCTTCAAAACGATGACTCTCATGCCCCCCAAGGAGTTAAAGGTGATTTGATGTGCTTCCAGTCTGAACACATACGTGTGTTTTTTATGCCCAGTCTGGTCATTTTTCAGTTATCTGCTCTGGTGTGTTGGTGGTTCTTTTTATTGGTTCTTACCAAGGGCAGTGCGTGGGTTATAAGAATCAGGCATGTAAGGGTGAGATTTGTTATGAGATTTGGTAGTTATATTACCCACTTAAAATCTCACACAATACACCACTTAATGAAATACTTTAAAATCGATCAGTTTTTGAATACCACAGTACTTTTATTGACTACTTAAAAATCCTAATTGAATACCAACGTACTTTTATTGATTACTTGAAAATCCTAATTGAATACTACTAGACTTTTAAGCTTCAAAACAATCTATTAAAATCTTAATTGAATACACCCCCCTTAATCATAGCAGTTTCCGTGTGGTAACTTTTATGTACGTGTGATAATCCCACCTATATGCCTTTCTATTGCATGCAGTTTTTGTACTTTTGATAGTTTTGTGGTTGTATTTTTGAATTGATTCCTCAGTCATACAAGATATGTTTTGGCTGAGATTAGTGGTATTCTTTGAATTCAACAACTTCTCCTTTTATAAATATAACAATAAGAGAAGGCAAAACCCCCCAATGTTGTGGCCATTATTGACTGATTCTTAACTCGTTACTGCATTTTACATTGTCATACAGTATCACAAACATAACTCTCTTTGGTTTTATTATTAAGAATCTCATAATTTTCAATTGCTGTTTGAGTCAGGGAATACTCACCAATGAAACGAGGTGCTTACGGTGTGAGACAGTGACTGCAAGAGATGAAACATTTTTTGACTTAAGCCTGGATATTGAACAGAACAGTTCAATTACAAGCTGTTTGAAAAACTTCAGTTCGACAGAGACATTGAATGCTGAGGACAAATTCTTTTGCGACAAGTGCTGCAGGTAGTTGTCTATCATTTACTTGCCTTTGTTAATATATGATTTTCTGTTTTCTGTTTTCACCTATAAACTGTGGATACCATCAGTGCTTATCTGGGTTCTAGCTTTACTAACATAAAGCTCTATGCATCCAATATATTGTCCCAAGAGTATTTTTGAAGTTCTGGGAGTTCAACCATAGAGAAATCAGAAATAAGCAGCACATGGCTTTAGGCTGTTGGTGCTGCTGCAATCAGTCTCTAGTACCCTTCTGCTTAAAGATTGACTTAATTGAGCAAAGTACGAAATTTTATTATGCAAAAGAGGAATTGAGATCTATCCTCCATTCCCAAAAGAGTAAATGCTAAGCAATTTGCTTGGCATTTGTTAACTCCTCAAATGATAGGAGCTGGTTGCCAGGTGTGTGTAATGGGTATATGATAATATTTATGAAGAAAGCATTGATTCAATTTTTTATTGATTTAGTAAGAATTCCCTTTTTCCAGCCTGAAAGCTGACAAGGTAAGCTCTTTATTTTATGCAGCTTGCAAGAAGCGCAGAAGAGAATGAAGATAAAAAAGCCACCTCACATCCTGGTCATCCATTTGAAGCGATTTAAGTACATCGAGCAGCTTGGCCGTTACAAGAAGCTATCTTATCGGGTTGTATTCCCGCTTGAACTGAAGCTGAGTAACACGGTTGAAGATGCAGAATCCGAGTATTCTCTGTTTGCCGTTGTTGTCCATGTCGGAAGTGGGCCAAACCACGGACACTATGTTAGCCTTGTGAAAAGCCATAACCACTGGTTATTTTTTGATGACGAAAACGTGGAGATGATTGATGAGTCTGCTGTGCAAACTTTCTTTGGATCAGCGCAGGAGTATTCAAGTAATACAGATCATGGATACATCTTGTTCTACGAGAGCCTCGGCACCAGTAACAAGAGTTAAGAAGATGGCTTTGGATTTAAGATGGTTGGGTATTTCTAATCATTTGGACTTTTGCATTTCTTCTGTTTTGTGTTTACTATTTTTCTTTTTTTTCTTTTTATTTTTCCCCCTTTTTTCAACCTGTGGGAGAGAGCTGTCAAATATGATATGATGTGGTGTGGAAAAAAAAAAAAAAAAAAAAAAAAAAAAAAAAAAAAAAATATACTTAGGTGGTTCGCATGTACAGTGGATGGTCGAAGCACACCATCCTTTTTTCTTTCTTTTTCCCTTTTTTTTTATAACTTTTTTCACAATAAGGAAAAGGGTAGTGTATATGGTGAGAAATTTCAGACAGTCAGTATTCTTCACGGTTGAGAACATTAAACACTAGAAATGCCATGCAATTGGAATTGCTCATCACTATTTTTCTTCTTGTGAACCTTGTCTTTATGAGGCTTAGGTTTTGCAGGCGTTCAGGGGTCGTATTTGAAGTAAAAACTTAGTACTTGATTGATGTAATATTCAAAATATCTAAAGTACCTTCTCGTGCAACATGGGTTCAAAATAAGCCAATAATTTTGAAGGAGTGTTTTTCCCATACAATCTCAGAGTGCACGGCTACGGTGAGGGTTTTTGTTCAAACAAGTTTGTATCTTCAAAAGTATAATAACCCAAAGCCCAAAAAGAAAATTCTCAAATTGGAATCTCGAATGGTTTTTGAACCAGCCAGACTCGAAAGGCATTTTTTGACATGGCACTGATCTATTCTTTTCCTACATAGATGCCAAAAGGATGTCACGCGACGCGAGTTAACGAATGTCATGCACAACTTCTTTGAAGAAAACCCTAACATTTTAAATATATAATGAGCTAAAAAATACCCCACTTGGTATCATCAAATATGAAAAAATAGCCGTTAACTTGATGATTTATAACTTTAAAGTTGTTTGTGCCAATTTTTCGAAGATAGAAAGAAACTAATCTGTCACTAACGCCGAATCACACAAATGCATCCATGGTTTTAATAATTTTGTTTTATAAACTTTAAGACTGAAATATGAGTATCTGAAGAAACCGGATTCGGATCCATGGATCAATCCTCGAGTGCAAGTAGGAGCCCCATGATAGATTTATAGCACTAGGGCCATATTTCCATGGCTATGGCAAGGTGCTATTACAACATTTTTCTCAGAACATTAAAAGGGCGGTGAAAATACATGACGCAACGCAATGAGGTGGACAAAAATTAACATAAACTCATTATGTTTAACTTTCTTAGATAAATAAATTTTCTAAACATATACAAGAGCATTAAGACATGCTTCTAGACCACTGGTGAATAAATTAAATGCCAAAGCATGTACTGATACTAATGCACTGCAGATTTTACAAGAGGATATCATAGGGTTAACCAGAGATCACTATGGACCTGCTGTAGGCATGAAAATGTCTTCATCCAACAATTCTGCAAAATCTATGAGATCATCATCCATATCAGCTCTCCCTTCTGAACTATTCACAGCACTATCACATACCACCTGCAATGTCAGTTGAAATTAGAAAATTCATTCAACCAAAAACAAATGCTTTATAGCCCAAGTGGGCAAGAAGAGAGGCTCTTCTTTACCTTGGTTTCCTTTATCTCAGTAACAACATTAAGTAGCCGACGGTATTGATCTCTTGCTTCAGGATATTGAACCATGGACTTCACCCTAGCAAGGGCCTTTTGCAACCTTTCCTCATTTTGCTTCCTTCCTACTTTCAGTAAATCATAATCATCATCCTTCGAGGATGAAACTTGTATGCTGGGGGCCTCAATAAGTGGCTCTGACTTGAACCCACGCAATCCACTTCCTTTTCGTCTCCAACGCAAAATAATCTTCTCTACAATTCCTACAGACCACACTATCTTTTTGTAGTTTTTCCTCACCTGGTGGCCTCTTACATGAGCCTTTTATCAATAAATTAGAAGTTAGATTTCAAGAATGGATTTGAGTAAGGAACAATGCCTATGGGAGAAATACGGGGAAGATAAAAGGCCTGAAAAATTGAAGTAGACCACAATCCTTATTAACAAGAGAATCATGACAAATACCTGAATTTTGACAATACGCTGTCGGATTATCAAATAGTCTTTTCTACCCTTCCAACTACGGAACTTATTTTGAATTCGTATTGCAGCAGCATCAACATGCTCATCACGTTTCCCTGGCTTATGTGACTTCACTGCAATGAGTGACAGTGCATGTTCATCTGAAATTCCAAATTCATTGCCACCATATTCTTTCAACTGCTTCCTCTGAAAAGATTGTACCCTGAACACTTGATGAATACGAGCAGCAGCTTGGGTGGCATTACAGACAGCAGTTAAAGAATCCCTCAGGGAAAGCCCATCCGTTAAATCCCCATTCCCGATAGGAGTTGCAATTCGTTCTGAAACTGTTTGTACTGCATTGGCTCCTGAAATCCCAGCATTATTGCCTTCCTTGATGTCCAAATTAAGAGATGAAAGGTGGGCGCTCAAAGCAGATTCTGCAAGATAACCAGCAATTCCTTTGTGGCCCTGTGCAGAAGCTAGGTCTGCAGGTGTTCTGCCAGTAGGGTATTTGGTACTTGGATCTGTTAATGCTCCGGGAGCCGCGCCGAGGGAGATGAGGGAAGCAACTGTGCGCTCTCTGATATTAATTACAAGAAAATAAGGAAACAAAACGCGTTAAATCAGACAAAACTAAATAAATAAGTCAAGAATGAAGATAATATCTAATAAACTGAAAGAAAGAGTTTCTAAGGTGCTCACCTGCCACAAAAAGCTGCCCAATGAAGAGCCGTCCATCCATTCACATCACGAAAATTGACACTGACTCCGGCAGTTATTGTGGGCAGCAAGACCCAATCATAGCCAAGAGCTGCTCCAAAATGTAACACACCTTGGCCATCCTCGTCTAGTACACTAGGGCCTTTCCCACCAACAGCCAGTTTCTGTGAGAGCCATACATGCAACTTCTCTTTAAGTAGCTGATGAAGCAACTGCTCCTCTACTCTCTCCAAGGAAAAGTTTTCATCTGACGTAAGCTGTAGCATCCTGTCCCACTCACCATTGTCATTTTTCACCAGACTGTTGGGATCAAAATTTGGAGAAGTAGAGCTTAGAGACAACAATTTTCCAAACCGCATACTAAGTATATCGTTTGTGCAGCCACTGTTATCATCTTTAGCATCATAATCTGGAATTTGGCAAACTCGGTATTCAAATTCCCTCACTTCACTACACGCTAGCCTATTGGAACATGTCACATAGAATGGAACCCTCCCAGTCTTATGGACGGGTGTATAACAACGAAGAACACCATCTGCTATAACCTCAGCACGAACTTCAACTTCCCCAAACATACATGACCATTTACAAGCTTCTGCTTGTTGACTCTTCAAGAATCTTCCCGTGATCAGAACCTGCACAAATTGAGGACTAAATGAGACAATTCTGTGATACTTGAGAAACTAAACTAGAATATAACTCTTACACAAAAGTACAGCTCTCTTGAAATCTCTAGGTTGTTTCCCACCAAGATCAGATGATGCAATCAAAGATTTATTTGATATAGTTGCAAGGAAGATTAAATTATACATTACCTTGATTTCAGAGTTTTCATATGCCCAGTTTGGTGAAAAATCAATAATGCTAAAGAGCTGGTCTTGGGAAAGAGAAGGCCCCAGCATATAGCTATCCAAGCGTACTTGCAGGGGAACACTGGACTCATCAACCCCATTCTCACTTTCAACAGTATCCCAGTAGGTCTCAGAATTGGACTGTGTTTGTGTGTCATCCACGTCTCCAAGTTCTCTACTCATCCATCGGTTGAAACTGTCAAGCTTCTTCAAGCCTTCAGTGAATGGGCCATCTAACAAAGGCTTTATAGCAGAAGCGTGATTGGCTTTTCCCTCTATGGTCTCATTTCTCTTTGAAATGGACTTTAGATAATATTCTTGCTCAGTGGTTGAAGGCTGTATTTGAAGGTCATTTGGTATAGAATAATCATTTGTCTTATCAGAATTCGTATGGCAAGGCGCTAGAGAATTGAGTAAATTAGCGGCAGTGAGTCCTTCATGGAAGCTGGAGACATCATCTACTGTATTTGAATGCAAGTTCCGATCCATAAGCCAGCTAGATGAACATGATGAGTTTTCTTCCGAAGTCTGTTGGAAAGTCAAACTAAAGTATGAACAGAAAAATTTGGAAAGACAAAAGTAATCCATAAAGGAGAGCACTACTCGTGATCCCCATTAAACGTGCTGCAGGGGTGCTAAGTGTTGGAAGGGGAACCCAAATAGCACTCCCCTCCATAAACTGTGTATTCTGAGTATGCTTATATAACCAACTATTGCATATAATATAATTATTTAAATTACCAGTACCAAGCTACACAATTTTGAAATCATTAAGTAGGATTTGAGGACTTTGGCAACACTTCCCATACCTAATTACATTGATAATTTTCATCAATTTATAATTTCATTCAAAATAAGTTCTAGAAACTTGGCAATATCAGAAATAATTTAAAAACTGACATCTCAAAAATTTGTTAGCAACAGTTTGAAACAACGAGACATCAAATATTTGTAGAACCCCCTGCCTAATTAGGTTTGACCATGTGTATAGCTTTCTTATGCATAACCAGAATCAGCATAACTTGCTTCCATGATCTTTAATATTGTCACTGTAAATTAATTCTTAAATTATAAAAACTCAAAACTGTAGAAAATATCTTTTATGGTGAAGCCATATAAAACAAATTCCATCACCATCTATATCTATCCATGTCCCACCAGATTTCACTTGTGAATGAAACATCAGATTCCCAGACATATCTACCATCCTTAAATACACATGAATTTGCAATTCCATAGCCCTAGAATTAAAAAATTTGTTGCCAGCATTAAATGTGTAAGTAACTTATCCTTACCTGCCAACCTTGTTGGACCCTTGGTTTACTCTCACACATCTGCTTTTTCTCAAAACTGTCTGTGAAAAGGTGCCCAAGCATCCCATTTTCTTGCTTAGAGATAATCCCCATCATATCAGAATGTGTTGCCGAAAATGATGGCTGAAAAGACAAAGACTGAAATCCAGTAGCACTGTTTTCCAGGGCAGCCTCCCATAACGAAGAGTTAAGATTTTTGGTGGGCTCATAGGTAACATCAGCATCATTACCATCTTCCCTCTTGTATGCTTGAGTAAGTGAGCCAAAATTTACCTCAGGAATGGCTGACAATTTTTCTTGATAATTATCTGTTATCATACCATGAAGTTGGTATTCCATTTAATTCAACAAATAGTAGCTATTTAAAAGCACTCATCCATTGAGACAGACAGATCTTGAAATATAAGGGAAAAAGTTTACTTGAAAACAACGTTGGATAGAATGCATCAGAGAATCCAGCATTGATCTTCTCAGCCTTAGGCTGTAGTAATTCGAGAAAAGGTTGTGACCGGGAACTTGCTTGGTGATCATATGCTGCACCATATACCAAGTTAAAATATTGATAACAAGAAGAAAAATATATAATGTGCAGCTGGAAAATGAATTAAAAGGTTTAGTTCCTGCAAAGTATTTATTAAAATAAAAAAAATAAAAAGGAATTTTGACAAACTGCAGAAAAAGAAATGTACAACACACACCTGATTCAGCATCTTCGAATTCTGATGCCTGAGCACTACTCAAGCTTGTTGTATCTGTAGCTTGGGAACGCATTTGGAAAGTATTTGGATTGAAACTAGAAGAAACAGAATTTTCCATCTCAGAATTGAGTGCAATTTCTTCAGTTTCGTGGGAATAAGGAACAGCTTCTTCAGTTCCCTTAGTATGGTTAAAGTTTGTCCTATTTCCCTGAACAAGTTACAAAAATAAAAGTGAATACCCAGAACATGGATATCCATTAGGAAAATAAAAAATTAACACGGTAATGAAATTAAGCTTGTATATTCATATTAATTTGTAAGCACATTAAGGCCTGGATCACAAAAATGACAACAAGAAATGCACAAGTATCCTATAGTTAAACACTAGATAGCATGAGTGTAAGAATTAAATCCATGAATCAGATATTTCAGATTGATTTGGATTTAAGCAAGTGGACCCACTTTTACTAAAGCCCTTGAAAACTTCTCGTTTTCTTTCGATGATGATCCTTTTACACTAAGTGCCTACTTTATCAGCATTGATTCAAACATGGATCACATCTTGGATCCAATTATTAAAAATACAATAGGTTTGTATAACATCGTCAGTTTTACCTTGAAATGGTATAACGATAACTCCTATGTTAAAATGATAATAACATAAAAGGTGGAAGGATCTCAATAACTAAATGGGAAAACCACAAGAATGAAATGATAGAATAAAGCATGACCTTAACTTCCCGGTAGTGGACGAGAACTATGTGTTGCAGATCCCTGCAGCAATGACCAAGTAGGTCAGACATGCAAATAAAATTTCACCATTATTGAATCATTAGCATATGAGACTAAATGTTCAAGTTCAAATGAGCAAGCAGTCATGGGAGCATGCAAACACATCCACAGAGAGAGAGAGAGAGAGGAGAGCAGAGAGAGAGAGAGAGAGAGAGATATATATATATATATATATATATGCAAACTCCTAAGGCTTGAGAACAGAAATCTTTGATAGCAAAATACAAACTCACTCTTCAAGCATCCAATAACTGCGTCTTTGGAAATTTTCATTTTCTTCTCCATGGGCATAGTAGCAGTGCAACACATCAACACTTCCGGCCTGAAAGAATCTCCAATATTATTCAACAAATATAATTAGAAAACAAAGGATTCCTAAACAAAGTAACTCTTGATGCAAGTTACAAAAACTTGAGAAATCCTTAGTATCAAAATATTATCACCTACCTAATGAAATTCTAAACCAAATTTCTTTCCCCGCTGTTTTCCTAAGCAGCAATTTTAATCAGTTTGGTATCATTGCTTCTATGTACTTAATTTTGGCATTAAATAAGGGCGCAAGTGAGCTGCAGTAAGTTGAGCTTTGGACTGCAGACTTGGCTGGCTAGATTTTTGTTGAGCTGAAGTCTAACATCAGCCTTGAGGTTCAGCCCAAGCTTGGCTTTCTGAGAAATAAGAGTTTGAACTTAATTCATTGACTTTGATGATCCTATAATGGAGTGACCTCAATCTTAAATTCACCAAAGACCTTCATGATACTCACAATCACAAGTGGACTGGCTGTTTGCATCCCTAACATCAAAGTTTTTTGTTTTACAGAGAATTCGTGAATAATATAATCGCATAACCCTTATATACTTTAAATTTAAAACCACAATCTTGATTCTCTAGCCTACAACATCAAATTGTAGTTTTTGACATTCAACATGACTGTTTTTTCCACATCAATCTTATCCCAGAGCTCTTCCCCTCTATGTAAGTTTGGTATCATTACTTTCCATCTTATGTCAAAATCCTTGGGTCATAAAATAAAGTTACCCGAACAAAGCTCTTCAATATGCTCCAATCAAATTTCAAGCAGAAATTTGGCGTAATATATTTATATGTGCCATTTAAAACCTATGACACCATTCTTTGATGATTACCTTAAGCCTCTCATGGGCTTCCTTCACTGTCTTTCCATCTTTTTTTTTCCTCCAATTATGGCCATCCTTCCTGAAATATCTAAGCACCTTCCGATCAAAAAGAAAAAGTGATCCACCTAAAACAAATGATGTGTGTCAAGCCACAGTAGGTTTTCACACATACCCAAATAAAACTAAAAACAATACAATCAAAGCAAGACGCACACCATATCTCAGCATACATCTCATAAAATTTAAAATTTGTACAGTATATGCAAAGTAAATACAATTACAACTTCATGCAATGCTAATATATATGACCTTAAAAAAAAAGCAACAGTTAGCCTTTATGCCAAAAAATAAATGCCAGTAACACCTACAAAAATAAAACCAAAAACAATACAAAACACAACTCCCATGCCGGACGACAATGCAAAATAGACAACTCCCATGCCATGTCTCAGAATTTGATTTTTCAAAATAGAAAACCAGGCCTATCCAATACTTTATCATGTACACAAAAATATAGTAATAGCACAGCTGCACAATCTCAGATAGATCATTGTGAATGCAGAGGAACTACCACACAATTTCTACATAACAATAAGCCATGTTTGTTGACAAATTTTACAGATTACTAGCAGTTGAATTGAAAGACAAGCTTCATTACAAAACTTTTCTAAAATACTACATTATCATGTGGCGGAAAGAAGGGACTTCAATAACAATATTTATTGCCAAATCTAATGCAGCTGAAAAATCATACCTGGTGGCATACTTGCAGGCTCTGAAGAAATGTGAAATTTTTTATAATTTCGAAGAATTTCACATATTTCAGCCGGGCGTAACCAGCGATGTTTTGCTTCTAAGAGTATCTGTGCAATATCTGCATCCAATCATATCACAATTAATAAAAATCCATATAAAATAGATAATCATATTTTAATGCTTCATTCATTGACATAAGAAAACCACATGACAACCAAGTGAGAGAGAGAGAGAGAGAGAGACATGATTTTAGACACTTAAAGCTAAAAAAAAGATAGATAATTTACAGGATGGAGTCCTCTAGACCTAGAGGTACACTTGTGGACACCAACCAATATAATCATCAAAAGGGTTCAGTCATCATGAAAAAGACCATTCACTCAACCCCCAAGCAGAAAATGTGATCTAAGCACCCTATTTATGGAAGCTGCAGGGGTGGGTTAGGGGGCCATGGCCAAACCTAGCTTTTACCACCTTCTTGCCTTTGCAATTTGACCCACCCCTCATGTCAATTTTAAATACTTCGACTCACCAACTTTGTTATATATTTCAAGATTACTAAGAAGGGTAAAGGACATGTTCAGTAGGTTTGTAGAAATGGACTTTAAGAATTTGGTTGGATAATTCAAGAAGGTGAAATAAAACCTACAATATGACTGACTACCAAAAGATTATCTAAAAAGATGAATGGATTGATGATAGTCTTTAGAAAATGTGAAAGGAGGATTGCTAATTTCTAGCTTCCTTAGGCTTAAGGAAAAAATAAGAAGCATGGAAGAGACGTTTTACCATGTCACACTCTCTCAAGCTAGCTGCTATTGTTGATGCGGATGTCATGTCAGAGCTAGCTGCACTATTAAGCTGTGTCAGTGGTGAGTGGCTACTTCTGCTTTGCATTAGGGATGCTGCTAAAGGATCTAAGAGCCTATGTTTTGATTAGGAGCTACGAAGCTTTCGTCTTGAATTTCTAATTGATGCCAGGCTGAGTTTTGTTGACTTAAATTTGAACTCTTGATTCAAAGTTTAATTAGTCCAACTCAAAACCCTTGAATAAGATTATAATAGAGTTTTAGATAAGATGAGTTAGGAAAAGTTATCTTGCTACTTGATTGGTTTCTGTGCTAGCAGCTTTTATAAATTCACTACAGCTCTAGCCAATGATTTCCAACGAAAATTGAGATTTTTTTCTCAAACTGAAGCTTCCTTCCAAAGGAAAATAATACCAAGTATGTGGTACTCAAGACCGGATTAGACTCAATTGTGACCCTGATTAGATGAAACAGTCTACACGCTGGCTGGAATTGAACACCGTGTTTCAATTCTCAATAGCATTTTCATGGCTCAGCAAAAGAAAAACTATAAATCAACAATATCTTGAAAATAAAATAAACAAATATGTTTACTAGTAAAAATATCATTTTCCTAAGGAAAACGAAAGTAGCAAAGGACACAACAGAAAACCAGAATTCAACTTGGATCAAAATATTCATATAAACAAGTAACACATGAAAATGAGAAATAAATCACACACACACACCAAAAAAAAACCCAAAAAAAATGACTACAGAAAAATATAACTGACCCAACTGATTGCCAAGACCATAGCGCTTGGTATCCGCCATGAACTCGATGAGTCTTGTAGTCACTGAAATCCCACAACCAGAGCCAACTTGTATCTCATACATAGGCCATAGCCAACAAGCCAAAAAAAGTGACTGCTCTTTGATCTGAAGGGTGTGGCAACAAAAAGACAAAAAGGCTTAGCCTTTAGGGAATGATGAAAGCGTGTGATGAAGATTGCAAAAATAGAAGGAGAAAATTTTAGAGTGAGTTTTGGGAAGAAATATGAAAGGAAAGTTTAGAAAGAGAGTTCGTAAAGGAAGGTTCTGAGGAAGGTGAGTGAAAAATGCAGGCACGAATGGAAAGCAGAGCAATTTAGGACAGTAATTATCTGACTCGTTACCACAGCCACTCAGCCACTCAGTCACTCTTTTGTGTGTGAATGAGAAAAATGACTAATTGACTATTTATTTTACTGTGTGTTGTGTGGTCAACATAAAACTTGGCCCACTTTTTTTGACGTCAATCCTGGCTTCGTCAATGCGGGATTTTGCGCCTCTTTCCTTTTGTGCCATTTCAAATTTAGTTTTCTTTTCAATTTCTTTTTTGAATGCCAATGATAGATTTTGGGATTTTCTTACACACATATTATCAAGGGTTATAGGAGTTCGAATTTGAGGTCATTGGTCTGTAAATTTGGACTCTTTTCTATTGTGCTAGACCTCCTTAGCAATATTTTTTTTCATTACTAAATGTACTAAAATTTCAAAGAAAAATCTATATTAGTTTAAGGGGGAATGCATGCGTAAGCAACAACAAGCTCAAGGGAAATGAATGCGGCACGACATGGAAGATCTGGCAGGACAAGAGAGGTCCTTGTATATATCTTCAATGGAGTTGAAGAAAAATGGTCGTTTCTTACATTAACCATACCATTGCATTGAGTGATTTGTTATCATCATCATAGCCCTACCTTAGTCCCAATCCTAACTATCTTAGGAATTTTTCATTCAAAAACAAATGCATGAGTTGTTTTAAAGGCAATAGTGAATTACGATTTATGGTTTCTATGGCTAGAGAGGATATATCAGATTGGGTAAAAAATAATACTTCATTCATATTGATATATAACAATAGGAAGGTTATATATACATAGCCTAGGAAACTATTCTAGGAAAGTAATTATGTTCATATAATATTGCAGAATCAAATAGTTGACTTAGACTAATTAGGAATGTACAGCTCATTGACACTCCCCCTCAAGTTGGAGCATATATGTCGTCAATGCCCAACTTGCTAAGTGAGCTGTGAAATACCCTGCTTGTGACTGCTTTGGTGAGTACATCTGCAAGTTGATCTTCGGATCTAACAAATGATACCTTAATGATCTTGGCCTCGAGCTTCTCCTTGATGAAATGTCTGTCAACTTCAACATGCTTGGTTTTATCATGTTGCACTGGATTATGTGCAATGTTTATTGCAGCTTTGTTGTCACAATTCAGTTGCATGGCATGTTTGGGTTTGAACCCCAATTCCCCCAACAAATTCATTATCCAGAGTAGCTCACATATTTTGTGCGTTACACCTCGATATTCTGCTTCAGCACTTGATCTTGACACTACTTTCTGTTTTTTACTTCGCAAAGATACTAGATTGCCTCCTACAAAGGTAAAGTATCCAGATGTAGATCGCCTGTCAGTAACAGAGCCCGCCCAGTCTGCATCAGTGTGACTCTCAACATCTAGATGACCATGTCGTGCGAACATCAATCCTATTCCAGGAGATGACTTCAAGTATCTCAGAATTCGGTTTACCGCATCCATGTGGGCTTCACTTTGTGCATGCATAAACTGACTCACCACACTTATGGCATATGCTATATCAGGTATAGTGTGTCCTAGATAGATTAACTTACCCACAAGGCGTTGATATCTTTCTTTGTTGGTGGGTACCTGATCAGGATATTCACCAAGCTGATGATTCAACTCCATTGGCGTATCTGTTGGTTTGTTGGCTAACATTCCAGTGTCAGTCAAAATGTCAATGATATATTTCCGTTGTGATAGAAATATTCCTTGTTATGAACGAGCTACTTCGATGCCTAGGAAATACTTCAGAGCACCAAGATCTTTCATTTCAAACTCATTTGCCAAGTGGTGCTGCAATGTTGCCTTTTCCACTAGGTCATTCCCAGTAACTACCATGTCATCAACATATACAATAAGGGCAGTGACTTTACCTTTCTTATGTTTCAAGAAAAGAGTATGATCTGAGTTACTTTGCTTGTATCCAAAATCCTTCATTGATTTGCTGAAGTTTCCAAACCATGCTCTAGGTGACTGCTTCAATCCATAAAGAGACTTTCTTAGTTTACACATCATGTTGCTAGTATTAGGCCCCATCTTGCATCCTGGAGGGGAATCCATATAGACTTCTTCTTCTAGGTGGTTGTGTAGGAAGACATTTTTGACATCAAACTGGTGTAATGGCCAGTTTAGATTTGCTGCCAGAGAAAGAAATACTTGAATTGTGTTTATCTTGGCGACAGGGGCAAAGGTCTCCCCATAATCAATCCCACAAGTGTGAGTATAACTTTTCGCCACCAATCTTGCTTTGTATCGTTCAATGGTGCCATCTGCCTCGAACTTTATTGTATATATCCATCTACAACCCACTGTTCTCTTCCCTTTAGGAAGGATAGTCATCTCGCAAGTGGAATTCTTCTGGAAGGCCTCCATTTCATCATTCATCACTTAAGTCCACTTGGGATCTTTCAAAGCTTCCTGCACATTACTTGGAATAGATACAGTGGATAATTGACATACAAATGTAGGGACACATGATTAGCAATAGGGTATTTAACTTTTGTTTTTTGGTCCGGGTCATACTGTTGTCTAGGAATCCTTCTAGTGGTACGAATAGGTAACTAATAACCTGTGTTTCCTGTATGACTTGACTCAGGTAAAGTACTTAAGTTGGAGTTTAAATGTTCAGTTACCTGCGGGGAATCTTCAGGACCTGATTGGATGATTGGTGATGGGACTGTAGTAGGAGAGAAATTATCTGAACCATTATCTGGAGTTTCCAGTAACTCTTGATCTTGTTGCACTACTGTAGCTGGTTGCTTGGACGTTGACTGCTCTAAAAAATTTTATTGAATTTGGATTCTCTGAGTATCTTCTGCAAAGATAGAGCTCTCCTTCTGCAAAGGATGCTCAGGAACTTTCATGAGTAACAGAACTCACTCTCGTGGGAAAGTCACATCTGCGGTAACATGCATGGTCTGAGTGAGAGGATGGAAACACTTATAGCCCTTCTGAGTGTCAGCATAACCCACAAAGACACAACGCAATGCACACGGATCAAGCTTGCCACGCTGATGTGGATACACTTGAACATAAGCAACACAACCAAAGAGACGTGGTTCGAGATTTTGTGTGGATGGCATGGTGAGGAGAGTGGTCAATGTCTGAAATGGAGTTTGATACTGAAGAGTGTTGGATGGTGTTCTATTAATGAGGTAATTAGCAGAATAAAGAGCCTTCCCCCAAAAATGATGAGGCATACGAGCCTCAAATAAAGAGGCACGAATAACCTCCAAGAGATGACGATTCTTACGCTCTGTGATGCCATTCTGTTGTGGTGTATAGGCACATGTGGTTTGATGAACAGGTTCATGTTGACTTAAAAAATTATGTAGGTCATGGTTGACGTACTCTCCTCCATTGTTAAACCGAAATATAGTGATTTTCTTGTCAAACTGAGTAGCAACATATTGATAAAATAACTTGAATTTGGCGGTGACTTCACTTTTCTGCTTTAGGGGAAAAACCCAGGTCATCCGGGTGCAATCATCAATAAACGTCATAAACCACTTAAAACCGCTAATAGTGGGAACTCGTGATGGTCCCCAAACATCATAACGGACAATTATGAAGGACAAAGAACTTTTATTCAATCTTAATGGGTAAGAAATACGATGGCTTTTGGCCAAAAATGCAAGTTTTACAATGAAAGTTTGATTCAACAAACTGGGAAAACAAATATGGAAATAAAAGTTTCATATAACCAAAAGAAGCATTCCCTAATCGTTTATGCCATAGCCAAATTTTCTTCATCCTGATAGACTCATCTCTTCTCACATGATGTGCCTGACTCAATCTCGTACTGCTGTCTTATGTCAAGTTCAGATAATACAACTTTCCCCTTCTAGTACCACATCCAATCACGGCCCTGGTGAGAAGATCTTGAAAGAGACAATACAATGGCCAAAACACACACGGTACAATTAAGGGAATCAATGATTTGAGGAACAGATAACAAGTCATAGTCAAGTGAATGCACAACTAAGACATTATCAAGACTTAATGAGGATGTAAGAGATAAAGACCCTTCTCCCATAACTTGGGAGGTGGTTCCATTGGCACTAGTAATATGTGTTTGGTTTGATGGTTTGGTAGAGTACAACCCAGTAAAACTAGATGTTATGTGATTAGTAGCGCTAGTGTCAATAATCCATGATCTATTACAAGTAAGTGAAGATGTGCAAGAGGTACGTGAGATGGCCAAGGCCTTGGAGCCAGATGGAAGTTCTGATGCAATCTCCTCAAATGATTGAGCGGATGCAAATAAGGCTCTAGTCGAATCTTTTTTACCCCCTTTGTGGACCCATCCTTCTGGATAACCAATGATCTCATAACATCCCTTAATTGTGTGGTTATCTAAACCACATTTGGTATACTTCATTGGAGGCCGGTTATGAGTAGGGTCGACACTATAGTTGTTCGGACGAGATTGTTTGGACCTCACAGCAGCTAAGGTTGTGGCTTCAGAGGTTACACCAGCTTCAGACATGGTTCCCTGTCTGTTACTCGCTCTTTTAATATGTGCATATGATGCCTCAAGTTCGAGCTTTGGCTCCATCCGCAAAATCTCTCCTTAGATTGGATCGAAATTATTGTCCAAACCTGCAAGAAATATATAAACTCGGAGACAATCAACCTCTTTGCGTCTAGTCTCAATGTCTTTCGAATGCTCCATGGTGCTTGGACTTAATTGATCAAGCTCCTGAAAAATCTCAATGAGCTTACTGTAATATTTGGCAACTGATGCGCCAGCTTGCTTCATTATGAATGACCATCTGTGAAGGTCATAAATCTTGGCTTCATCAGCACCATCTGAATAGGTTTGCTTGATTGCAACCCAGACTTGCTTTGCTGTGTCATAACGAATAAATCATTTAATCTGATCAGGTTGCATGGCGTCGAACAACCAACTCTTGACTTGGCAATCCGATGCATGCCATTTATTAAATGTGGGATCTGTGTCTACAGGCTGGGAAATATCACCGGTCAAGTGGCCATGTTTTTCTCGCCCAGCTATCTTCATCTCTATGATTTAATGCCATAGAGAATAATTATTCTCATCCAGTTTGATTCCAACGGAGAAGTTGGAGGTGTCACTCTGCAAAGTGACGATTTGTGTGGTAATTTTGGAGCCTCCCGACACCAAGGATTGATTGGTGTTTGCTGACCCATCATCGTTGGCCATGATATTGGCTGACAAACAATGAGAAAAAAAAAAGGGCAAAAAGAAATCTATCTAGGGGAAACGTTACTCTAGGTAACTGATGAGAAAATGACAAAAAAGAAATATAAAGTTGAGGAAAAAACAAGTGAACAGTGGACAACGGCAATAAGACAAACTGTTTTGCAATAAGAATATTGGGTTGAAAGGAAAAAAAAAGAAAAAGGGAATGGTTTGAATGGGTATGTGAATGGAAAGTGATTTGCAATATTGCAAAACGTGATTTGACTAGAGGAAAGGTTTGAATGGGTTTGTGAGATGGAATATGGGTGGTGCTGGTGCTGGGTTTGTGAGACGGCTGTTGCTGGGGATACGATTGCTAAGGTTAGGGAAAGAGAAAGTCAAGATCGACGGCTTTGATACCATATCAGATTGGGTTAAAAATAATACTTCATTCATATTGATATATAACAATAGGAAGGTTATATATATAGAGCCTAGGAAACTATTCTAGGAAAGTAATTATGTTTATATAATCTTGCATAATCAAATAGTTGACTTAGACTAATTAGGAATGTACAGCTCATTGACAGGATATTCCCGAATTTATGGGTTACGATGTCTTTCGATCCAAAATTCTTTTTGCAAGCAATGTGAAACCCCATACCACTCGCCACACTCATATTTGGTTTTTCAAAAGATATCCTGGCTCCTTGTATGAGTGGTTTGGACCAGCTCTGGATGAAGAAAATTCATGGGTATAAGATGGTGTCCACTTATCTTATGCAACTATGGGCACTAGAATTCTTGTCTCCACCACTCCTCATCATTTTCCTAAGATGCTTAGCTTTGACGTCACCAAAGACAACCCACAATAGGAAACACTCGCCGCTTTTAGCCCTTTGTTCTCTAATGGTCGTTTTCCCTTTCACGGAACATATTTTTTTGTGGACCATGACGACGTGTCTTTCATGTTTACCTATCAATATCACCTATGCTCGCCTAATGAGATTATAGTATACATCGTTTCCAATAATGATTCTTCAAAAACAATAACAACTCTGTAACTGCCAATTATTATTGGTGAATTTCATACGCTGTATGATACTATAGTTTTGTGCATGTATGTGACCCAAAAGTATACTTTATAATCACTTTATTCTCGTGCCTAGCTACTTATTCCAACCTTAAAGTGATCGAGAGGATGTGGGTTATTGTCTTAACATATGAACTCATACCCAAGACAGAAGTAGTCAAACTTGTTGCTACTCGCTTCTTTGTGCACAAAATTTAATGTTTATTTTCTTATAGTAGTGCTGGTGGCATCATGTGTGATATAGTGGGGTTGATAATGGTAAGAAGTTGGTGAGATGAGGGTGGCAGTAATGGTGGTTGGGTGGTGGTAAGGTAATGGTGATGACATTCGTAGCAGGTGTGGTTGTGGTGACAATTATGGTGGCGGCGGCGGTGGGCATGGAAAGGTGATGGAAGGGATGGTGAAGGTGGTGATGGCAGCGATGGTCATGGTAAGGTCGTAGTGTTCATGACGGTGAAGGTTTTGGTCGTTGCCACGTCAATGTGATGGTGGTAGAGATGGTGGAGTTGTGACAGCATACATGGTTATTTTATTGTGTTAAGACTCTCACTCTCTTGGAAGTTTAGAAATGACAACGATTTAGATTGAATTTAAAACTAAAATTATGAGCTCCAAATTCCATATTTTTTCCACATGTAATTTCTAAATTTCTTTGTTGCTACCATTTTAAAACGAACTAAAAGCTTGAGTTGTGTCCACAAACAAACCAAGCCGATCCAATCCGAGCTTGAGATTGAAAAAATCATTTGAGTTAAGTTTAAACTTGAAAAAAGTCATTCGAGTTGAACTTGAGCATATTTCTAGCTTTGTTTGAGCTTAAATAAGAGCTCGTTTGAGTCTGCTTCTTTAGAAAACACTTATGCTCATAATCACTTCTAACAAAAGTGTTTTTATTATAAAGAAGTTAAAATTTTCAAAACAAATCAAAGTGCTTCTTGGAAAAGCACTTGGGCGTGCTTCCTGAAGAAGCACATAGAAAATGCTTTTCCAAAAAACGCTTCTATAATCCAGAAGCACTTCTGCTCATAATCACTTCTAACAAAAGCGCTTTTATTATAAAGAATTTGAAATTTTCAAAACAAATCAAAGTGCTTCTTGGAAAATCACTTGGGCGTGCTTCCCAAATAAGCACATAAAAGATGTTTATCCAGAAAACGCTTATAGAAATACTTCTATAACCTAGAAGCACTTCTAGACTAGCCCTTCCAGAAGCACTCCCAAACGGATCCGAATACTATTATCCAACCCAAGTTTGAGAACCTTGCTATTCGGCTAGCTTGTCCCATTTACACTCCAAAAAAAAATAATAATAATTGAATAAAACTAAACAAACATGGGAAGGAAAAAAAAATCAGAAAATATAACTTTTATTTATGCATTTAGACGCATTTCATAAAACCTGGACCATTCAATTAATCTAATGATTATGTGTATGCCACATCCGCTGCAATAAATTTGTTTCTTTTATAAATAAATAAATAAAAACTGACGCTGTTAGTCACTTTGACAGAAAAATAACATCGCCCAGAAAGTATTGCGATTCAAGGCAATACTCAGAATTTTTGCTTCCAGCAAGAACATCTATCAATGGGTATTTATAAAAATGTTCATGTGTTTCTAGAAACTGAAAAAGCTCCGTTGTCTGCCATTTGCTTTGTTAGAAATAACGTCTCCCAAAGACCAAAATCCATTGCAATCTTCTATCCAATAAATTCGCACCAGAAAGAAACAAGACCAATATTGTACGTTTTCCATTACCCTTCCAGCCGAAAATGAACAACACCAACTAAGAATCCCAACTTTCAGACCAAAAAAGAGAAAAAAACACTAAGAATCCCAACCTCTGTACTCTTTCCACAGCAGAAAAAAGACACGCACCCTTCTCTTCAAACACCTCCGTCATCATACTCATGGATGACAACCCAACCACCCCAATACTTTGCAATTCCCACAGCTCCAATCAATCTTTTTTGTCAAACACACGCGCCTTCGTCCTCATTGCAGTGAACCCAAAAGCCCTCCGATTTTACTCCCTCCACGCCAAACCCTTCTGATAACCCAGCACCATCCCCATCCTCACCCCAGAAAACCCAAGATCTCAAACAAGCTCATCATGAAGATATTCCATCATCAATCAGAATAGCAATCAATTGGGTATTTTCATTACCAATTTCGGCTGATGACTAAAGCTTCCTAAGGAAAAAAAATTAAAATTAAAATAAAAGAAAGATCAAGGGAAGAATGAAGAGAGCGATAGGCAACTAGAGATGAAGATGAAGGGAAGTTTTTTATTTTTATTTTATTTTTTCTGTCAAAGTGACTAACAGCGTCAGTTTAAAAAACAAGAAACAAATTTATTGCAGCGGATGTGGCACACCCACAATCATTCGATTGGTTAAATGGTCCAGATTTTATGAAATGTGAGTAAATATACCGTCTCTAAATGCAAAGCCTCGGTTCCGAAACTTCATGATTCATCAAAAAACATAAAAAAATCTTCCTCAAGGGGGAAATAGCGGTTAGTAGCAAACGAGTCGAGTCTCTGTGTGTGTGTCTCTCTCTCTATCTCGTGATTAAGTCTCAGCCTTTGGCCTGTGGAGCGATGGCTTCGGCGGCAGCCGGGCAGATAAACACCGAAGAGTTACCTTCATGGGGGTCTCGAAGCGTCGACTGTTTTGAGAAACTCGAGCAAATTGGCGAAGGCACTTATGGGTCAGTCTCTCTCCCTCTCTCTGCATTATCGTTCTTTTCTTTCAAAGAGCAGAAAAATTGATACCACGTGCACCACTCAATGATGAATTATGATTACCCTTCTACTTCAATTAGGAATTTATGTGCAAATATTTCATAATAATTGCCAGATATATTTGTTTATTAATGACTCGGAAACTATGCCGTTTAAAACTGTTAAAGTGTGTAGATTTTATGTTCTCGGTGCTGAAGAATTGGCCTTTCTGTTGTTATTGCTATAATGAGGGTTGCTTTCTTTTCTAGTTTACTTCTTTGTCATCAGTAATATTTTTTCACTGATAATATTCTTGTGCAATTAGTATTATAGAAAGTAGGAAAAATATAATTTCAAAAAGAAAAAAAAGGAGGAGCATAGGAACATTAGTTAAATCTTGATCCTTAATTAATAAAATGGGTTAGAAGTACTCATATATTAGTTTGTTGGTGGGGAAAAAAAGTCTTTAAATAAAACAATAGTGATGTAATAGAGAGCACATGATGTCACTAGAAAAATTTGCATTTCATTTTACTTTTGTTAGTATAAATGATGCATTGGATGTAAGGGTTTAATGCAGCTTAGGTAAGGAACGAAGAGTCCTAGGGAGGGAGGACTGTTTTTCTTTTTAATTTAAAATCTTGATCTTTACTGGTGGGATTGGTAATAATTTGCATTTTGGGATTCATGGTGGCTCAAGAGGTGGTTCTTTGAGTCTTTCTTCTCCCACTCATCTTGAATGTAGATGAAGGATCAGGTTTTGTGGTCTCTGTAGGAGTGGAGAGAGAAGACACTGCCTTCTTCCTTTCGGCTCCGTTAGACTTCTTGCTTTCTCTCTTTTCCCTTTCTTTGCAGGAGCATAAGTAAAAGCACAAATTGCGCAAGTTTTAATGGTTCCACTAAAATTGTAGCATGTTATAGACCCCCCTCCCCAAAACACAGAAGAAGGAAAGAAGAAAGATCAAGTTTCTATAAGTTTGATATTCTTTTAGGTGGGGGTGGCAAAGGATGGTATGAGTAGATAGATTTTGAGGAACCCAAAGTAAGACAGATTTTCAAGGTCAAACAGTGTGGAAAATTATGTTTCTTATGAACCAAAAATTAAATTTCTTTCACGTAATGAAACACAAGTATCCCTGTGGGTTTTCCTTAATCCTGAATTAATTGAGTTACCTTTTTCCCTCCTGGGTCATGTTTTCTTTTGCAGTCAAGTGTTCATGGCCAGAGAAACCCAAACTGGGGAAATTGTTGCTTTGAAAAAGATACGCATGGATAATGAAAAAGAAGGGGTACTGTTTCTTTAATTTACCATGTGTTCTTATTATATGGAGAACTGTAGTACGTTTCAACAATTTTGATTAAGTGAAACTACGGGTATTTACACATGCACGCACAACCAGGCACACTCCCAGACCTATTTGCACACACATGTTCACATCTTATAATAAATTTTATGGGATTTTTGCTTTGTTTATGTAGTTCCCAATTACAGCAATCCGGGAAATTAAAATTCTGAAAAAGCTTCATCATGAAAATGTCGTTAAGCTGAAAGAGATTGTAACTTCTACAGGTACTTGAATTTCCATCATTCAAGAATTATATTGTATCACAGTTGACAAATTTGTAACATTTATATTGGTTCTGTTTGCTCATACCTTAAATAACTTTTTCTGTCTTCAAGGTCCTGAAAGGGATGAGCAAGGGAATCAAGGTACCAAAAGCTGTTACATGAAATCTTAGTCAGTTGTGTGTGTTACATCTGCGTGCCTGTGATCCATTTAATGCCATCTGGTGACACATGCTTTGAGAGTGTCACTTTGTATCAAAATTTATTGTAGGCGGTAGTTCTTCTGACATGTGTTTTGTCGATTACAGATGGTAATAAGTCCAAGGGTGGTATCTATATGGTTTTTGAGTATATGGATCACGATTTGACAGGCCTTGCTGATCGTCCTGGACTGAGATTTACAGTTCCCCAGATAAAGGTATAATATATTCTTACAATTTTGGAGAAAGAGAGTTATCTGTTACATCAAGTACCTTACAGTTTTCTCACGTTTTATTCTCAAGTGTTATATGAAGCAGCTATTGACTGGGCTACATTACTGTCATGCTAATCAAGTACTTCATCGTGACATCAAAGGTTAATCAACAAGTTTATCATCTCCTTTCTCAAATATGATTATGAGTATTGTGCACCTGGAGCTATATCAGAATAAAGCCTATTCTTGCAGGTTCTAATCTTTTGATAGATAATGAGGGGAAGTTGAAGCTAGCAGACTTTGGGCTTGCAAGGTCCTTTTGTAGTAACCATGAGGGAAATCTTACAAATCGTGTCATTACTTTGTGGTATAGGTAAGCATTTACTTCATAATTACCATTAGAAATTCACTTTGCTAAAGCATTGATTCTTTCAAAGAGTATGCCCGATGTTTAGATAGTGCATATAACTGATATAATTGGAGCAGGCCCCCAGAGTTGCTGCTTGGAGCCACCAAGTATGGTCCAGCTGTTGACATTTGGTCTGTTGGTTGCATCTTTGCTGAACTTCTGCATGGAAAACCAATTTTGCAAGGAAGAAGTGAAGTTAGACATCCTTTCCAATTCTTCTCTACTCTGATTATTGGTTTTAGAATTGATGAATTTACCAAATTTTGGCTAGTATTGCAAAATGAAGTCTGATGTCTTATATAATTTACTATGGATTGCGTCAGCTTTTATTTTCACAATATGTTGATGAAAGAAAGAATTTTTCTGGTGTAATCTAAGGTTCAATATCTCATGCTTTTTAGAAAGGGAGCTGATTTTCCTACTCTTTTGTCCACTTACACTCCCTTTGTTGGAAAGTGTATGTTCCCACTCCTTTTCTGTCCATTTACACTCCCTTATTGGAAATTGTATGTTATAGTAAAAAGTATTAAAAAAACAAAAGGGAGTGTAAGTGGACAAAAACGGAGAGGGAAAATCAGCACCCTTTAGAAAATATGCATTCTTAATCAAATATTGGTTGAGGGGCACATGTGTGAAGGATGTGTTGTGGAGCTTACATCCAACTTGTCTCGTCCTATATGGTGTAGAAGTTATTGCTGTACCTATTAGAGACTGTAGCTATCCAGGAATGGCTGTTTTATGTTTAAATTTTTTATGCGGCTAGTGATGAATATGTGGTTGGTTTAGGAGAATTTGGTTTTTTGTATTTGTATTTGTATTTGGTGGTAATTGGTGTATTAGACATATTTATGAAATAATCAAAAACAATGAAAACATGGACAAATTATTTCACGAGGCTCAGTTTGTAATATTTATTTTCTTCATATTTATTGTAGCCTGACCAACTGAACAAAATATTTGAGCTCTGTGGATCGCCTGATGAGATCAACTGGCCTGATGTGTCAAAAAGTCCTTGGTATAATAACTTCAAGCCAACAAGGACCATGAAAAGACGAGTCAGGGAAATTTTCAGACAGTGAGTAAATGATTGATGAGTTTCTCAAGTATTATGATTGAATATTAATCTGTCATAAGCTATTTGATTCTGTTTGTTAATTTGTTTTTCAATATGCATTCCAGTTTTGACTCCCATGCTTTGGATCTATTGGACCACTTGTTAGCTCTTGATCCAAATCAGGTACCACTTGAATTTTACATATTTGTTCTTGCCATAATTTTAATATTTACTAATATACCGGAGTCTAGTTTTGTTTAAAAATCATTCAAAGGTTTTTATTATTATTTAAATATATCAGCTACACTAGCTTGATTCATTTGTCACCTTTCTTTGGTTTGGAAACTGAATCCAAATATTGCTGCCTCAAACAAATGATTGAGCTGAATACTTGTTTGAAGACTATGTAATGCACATTGTCAGGATGCTTCAAGGAAAGGAATAGGATTGCATATTGATAAACACTATGGCACAACACTAATAGTAAATCAAGCTTTTTTGTCCTTGTTAGCTACTATTTTGGATGAATGAACTTGATAATGCAGATTGAGCAGACTGCCACTTCTACTTTTGCAGTAAGGTGCTCTTATAGTTTTTCATGCTTATCTACTTGTTTCCTTCTATGTAGAGATGGACTGCGAAGCAAGCACTGGATGCAGAGTATTTCTGGGCTGACCCTTTACCCTGTGATCCGAAGAGGTGTGTTTTTTTGTTTTAAATTATCTGCATTCCCTTCGAGTTTGCTAGATCACAAGGTACATTCAAATAGGTGTCCAAGCTATAAACAGTTCTCCCAGTTGGTGATAAAAATCCAGTTGTGTTGTGCCTATCGTGGATGACTATTCATATTTTACTCCCTTTTGTTTACATCTCTTTTGCACTTGGCTTCCTATAAATTAGCACATTTAAGCGATCGTTGCTTATCACATGTGCATCACCAACCAGCTTTAGTAGCCTAATACTTGTCTCCTTTTCTGAAAGTGGTAGCATAGGGTTGGGCCTGTTATAGTGGAATTTGAGGGGTTGTGGTATTTGGGTCTCGTCTGAAATGTGTATTGGTTCAAGGCTTCTCTTTGTATTTCTATAATATGTTGAACTGTGCTTATCTTGTATCGTACAGCCTACCTAAGTATGAATCATCACACGAATTCCAAACAAAGAAAAAGAAGCAGCAGCGGCGACAAACTGAAGAAATAACAAAGGGATCAAAGTCACAACATTATCATAAGCATTATCGCCTGCCTCCCATTCAACATACAGGGCAAGCTCCTCCACAGTGGTACGGGCCCAATCATCCAATAAACGATGCTCAGCCCCCATTATCAGCTGGACCAAGTCACCACCACTACGGAAAACCACACGGTCCTCCTGGAGGTCCAAGCAGGTACCCTCCGGGAAACCAGGGTGGACCTTACCACCTAAATCGCGGAGGTCAAGTTGGAGGTTACAGTGGTGGACCATATCCACCCCAAGGACGAGCTCCACCATATGCTGGGAGTGGCATGGCGGCCCCTAGCTCTAGAGGAGCCCCTGGTGGTTATGGAGTCGGTCCTCCCAACTACTCCCAGACTAATCAATATGGAATTCCTGCTGCTGGTAGGGGTGTTAATATCCGAAATCAACAGTATGGTCGGCAGTAGTGACAGTGGACACTAGGGCTCTGTATTAGGACATTATATGTCGCAACAGAGATGGTTACGGGATTGGAGTTGTGTTAGGCTAACTGGTAGAGTTAAAATTTCACATAAACAAAATCAGCCGTTGTACATTCTTTTGGGAGGCATTTTTGTTCCCTCATTTACCTCCAACGGTTTTCATGAAATGTTAAACCGAACTGTAGAGCCTAACCATGCCAGCAGGGTTGTGCTTTTAGGAACCCAACCTGCCGGTTTCAACTAGTTTATGCCTGTAGATAACCATGCTGCTTTTGTAAGAGTCGAAGTTATCAGATGTTCCATTTTCTTTGTTTTTTCTTGGTTATTTGTTTCTTTCATTGTATAAACACTCCTTGTTTTCCGATGTTTTATTGCACTAGTTAGAATGGATGAAGAAATCTGACATCGTTAATAGATTGACAAGTCTACTCTCTACACACTCTTATCGCTCATTGATAGAGAGGGAACATCTCCAAGTGACTTAGGTAAAAGAGGTGAGCTAAATGTAGAAAAATACAGAAGAAAACACAAAGTTGTCCAACCATAACAAGCTATCTTGCATTTTCACATGATTAACCAAAGAATGCCCTCCCCTAGCCGCATCCAATCTCCCTTTTCTCCTTGTTGACAACCAACCGCAAGGAAGCTGGGGGGAGGTGGCCACTGCCCCTCCTCCCCTCCACCCATCTCCCCCCCTTCCTCTCCTCCTCTCCCCTCCTTCTCCCATCTTTTCCCTTTCTCTTATCCCTATCCAAATAGCCTAGATCTATTGGGATCTAGGTATATTTGTGTGTTTGTTTCGTTTGGTTGTTTTTGCAGTGTTCTAGGTGGCTGGTGTTGTCTCAATCTTGGCGGTTGCAGCAATAGTGTAGTAGTGATGTTGGGTTGTATCTCTCCTTGGGAGAGGTGTGTTATCCGGCAGCTGATGTTTTGTCTTTGTTTCGACGGCGAAGGCAGCAGTGACACTGGTGGTAGTTGTTGGGCTATGATGCTTTCTCTATTCTGCACCTACCGAAGAACTATGCTTGGTCATAGGAGTTTTCTTTGTCAGGTTCTAAGTTGACGTGGAGTGCTTCTCAGAGGTCCTTTTATTTTTGTTTCTATGTTTCTTCCTCCGTGTTCTCTCCTTGTTTCTGCTATGGTATGCCTTGTAGTGTGTGTGGGTGTCAAAGGACTATGATTTTGCTCATAGACGGCTTCTTTTGATAGTTGGGATGTTTTGCGGTCATCTCCTGTGGGTTTACTATGTTGGTCTCTAGTTGGGGTTCTATTTTCCTGTTCTGTTTTGGTTTTGTCATGTTGTATTGGACTCTCTTGTTAGTCCACAGCATATGTGTCACTCTTTTCTACCCTGAATCCGTCCTATGTGGTCTCGTAGAAAGGTTTTAATGAGGCTATTGGTAGCGTGTCAGTCTCTGTATGCTTTTTTGGCTTATGAATGAAATCTTCTTCTATAAAAAAAGGTTATCTTGCTTTGTTCCACCGACTATAGCCTATATCTTATACCTTTTAGATCAATTAGTGTCACAATCAGGCCAAGGCAAGTTGAAAGTGGATTAAAGCAAGTCCCAACTTGATTGCATGAAAATGACCATCAATTTGACAAATAATTTACATAACTAACTAACAAGGGGCACGTTGGCATGAATGAAAAGTTTACTTGTACTCAGAACGATATTGAGAGTTCATAGGGCAGAGTAGAACACAACCTATAATTCGGGGGCATTGCTAAATTTTTCCCTTAAACAAAAACTATTACCGAATTTGTGTGTTCAGTATGGGGGTATCTCCTTTTAGGAAATGAGACAAGTAATATTCTTAGTTAATTATAGAAAAATATAAAAGAAAACACAAAAAGTTCACCAAGCATATAAGCTATCCTGCTTTGTTCTATCAACAATATATATATATATATATATATATATATCTATAAATCACAATTTGACACATGTGCAAAAGTTGTCAAACCATATAAGCTATATCTTGATACAACTGGAGTTTGTGTTAGGCTCGTTGTTAAGAAACAAGCCAAATTTGAGCTTTCTATGTTGAAGTCCTCTGTAACTACATTGATTTCTTTTGTCTCAACTGAACCACTCTTTGCACTTTCAGATGCCAATGGTGAATTTATGGGGGGAAAAGAAAAAAAGAAAACGAAAGGCGAAATTTTCTGTCCGCTTTTGCATGCCTTGCGTGTCAGGGTAAATTTTTTGTCTCATCTCACAGAAAAGCCAACCGAAAACATTGTGAAGAGCTCCTTTGAAAATGCATGCCTTTTTTTTTCTTTTTCTTCTTTTGGTTCTTTTCCAAGAATCAACAGAACAAAACATGGAAGAAAACAAAAACAAAAACAAAAGTATTCATTCCCAACCAGTCAACCTCGACATTGACAAGAACCTCTGGTCCTTGATATTGATTGAAAAGTATTACGTGGACTCTACTTTGAGAAAAATCTTCATGAACTCGTATACAAGATAACTGATTGCAGCTGATGGTAAAACCTGCAGAGTGAAGACAAAGAAAAATGTTAAGAAACTCATAATAAAATGATGTAATGAAAACTGCTCAACTACTCTTAACAACCAAAATAAAATCACATCCACATTCACTTGCTCTTTTCACTGGGTTAATTTCATTTTACCCCCTCAAGTAGACACTTAATTTGACGTTTATACCTCATCTTAAACAAAAAAATTACTATTTCGTATCCGAAGTTTGGTTAGTTGCAATGGTACACCCTTCTAATTATCATTTCAACACAATTAATTACACAGAACCCAGAAGCGTTTCCAACTAAAGAATCGTCAGAGTACCATACCTGCAATAGGCTTGGTGTTAACCCTGCATAAAGAGCAGGTACACCTCCTTGCTCAACAATTTTCACACAAGTTGCAAATGCACTTAACTTAGTTGCCCGAACTTGCAATTGAAGGTGTCTCCTCACAACTTCAAAAGGATATGTAGCAGCTTCAGAACAAGCTCCGGCAATTGCCCCATACAGTAATGTTCTAATGGGACCTAACTCCAGTTGTTCCAAAGCATTCAGTTTCTGCCCTTCTTGTTTCATGTGTTGGATTCTTTTCCTCCCTTCAGGTGAGTGCAGATAAGCCGATTTTAGTATATCATAAACACCGTAGAAAACTGCACCTGAAGGTGCCATGCTCACAATAGAGGGTAGTAAACCCTTGTAAAGAGAAAAGAACCCTTCAGTTTGGATCATGTGGCGGAAAGCACCAATTACACCACCCAAGGCTTCTCCACCAGGTGCTACCATCTTTGTCCTGATCTGAAATAATTGAAATTTTACAATGTGACTTGGCTTGAAATGCCACTGTAAAAATTGTTAACAAATACAAGCTTTTTAATCTATAAGAGCTGGGGCTCCAAGCAATGGCCACCTCTAAATCACAAAAACATTATTTCATTCAAAATGGGGTTTTACCAAACAGTTTACATGGAAGCCAACGCAAGTAATTTTTTTTCAGGTGCTATATAAAAGACGAAAGAAGGGCTTGCTCCTACTGTATATCCAAATAATCTTTGAGGTTTGCTACATAAATAACACTGAATAAAACTCAACTTGTTTCCATTAAATAATAATGCATCCACCTCAGGGTCTCATTGGAGAATTAACCTGTGCTAAGGCCATGCCCCTGCCAATTTCTTCTTTTCATCCCATTTGAGTAAATTTGGATTGTTTCTTGTGACATAATTTTACGTCTGACAAAATCAGCATGAGATAAGGGTGATTCGTGCAGCCAGCTGACTCCTTTTCAATAGAAAGGAATAGCTAAACCAACCCAGCTGGCTGGTCAATCTCAAAAGAGAAAAAATGAACACAAAAATTCGAGCTGGAATGAATGCTAAGGTGTGGAAACTCTAATGTGATACACAAAGATACTGCCCCTCCTGCACACACACACACATGCTCACATTCTTCTTTCTGGCTAGAATTTATTAAAAAAACCACATCAGAGTTCTCAAGTGCAAGCAAAAGAATTTAGGTCATGAAGACTCTCAAGGAGTGATCTATAAAAGTGTGGGTTATGGTGACCTCCCATCCTGCACATTGCGCTAACTATGAAGTACTAGAAGAAATTAATTTGAACACAAAAAATTGGAAAAAGGCACCAGGAAAATGTATGCTCATGGGATGAAATTAACTGAACCAAATAGCAGCAGTAAGTAGCAACATACAGTGTCCATAGGTAAGCAGAGCAAGGTAGCGGTAATTCCAGCGGCAGCACCAGCAAGAAACCTCTCATAATTTGTGGATTCCTCATTCTTAGACAATTTCATCAGATGATTTCTGTAAGTATCGTAAGCATAGAAATTGATAGCCTTAAAGGGTGCTGTGCGAAGAATATTGACAAAGTTTCCTTTCCAAAATCCTTTCAGCCCTTGAGAAGCTGCAATCGTCCTGATGAGCTCAAAAAGGCTCTTCTGTTCGCCACGAACTATATATTCCAGCTTTAGCCTCTCAAGAGGAGCAACAAACGTCCTAATACACCGGCATCCATAGGGGCAGGTGAAACACCAAAAGTTTGAATGTCAGTGCATAAGCAGAAGAGAAGCATATGATGTACCTTTTAGCCAATTCAAAGCACAACCAATAATTCAGAGCCACAATCACAAAGAAATTATAATTGGACGCTCCTTTTTAGTTTCTTCAAAATCACAGGATAGGAGAGAAACTGTCAATTGGGTTTTAAGATTTCCATCATTGAGGACTCAAAGATATATAACCTGGACCCAGAGTTAGTTCCTCATATACTCATATATCTATCTGGGTTATCCTAAAAACAGAAGCTTTCCTTTCATCTTTGGAAAAACCAAGACTTTACATCTACTCTTAATCTCATAGTCTCTGCCAATTCACAAATAAATGCAAACAGTCATTCACCCGCCAAAAGAAGAAAGAATTTTTTTTTTAAAATGTAATTGTTTTAGAGAGAAGGAACCTGGAAACCATAGCAGCAACAGCTCCAGACCAGAGATGCTTTGTTGTGTTCATAGCACCTGATCCCTTTCGTACAGTCTCACTCTCACCCTTCTCGAACAACACGACGGCCTCCTCCGACGAAAAACTTGTATTCCCATTTTGCCCCAAGACTTGCCCAGATTCCACAACACATCCATCGTCACCATTCCCTTCACTCCCCTTTATCGACAAGCTCACAGACAAGAACAGAGCACCGCCACCTCCTCCTCCTCTCAAACCTCTAAGACGCACCGTTTTGTCACGGCGCGTGAAACTGAAACGGGTCTTGGGGGGAACCAAGGAGAGGAAGGAAGGAGGGACGGTGTCATTGGGGTGGAGGAACAGACCACCGAGGAAGAGGGGACCGGGATCGGGATCGGGATCGGAGGGCTGGGATTTGATGAGATGGGTGAGGCTGAAGTCCGGTGGGTGCATTTCTGGGGATGTGAAAACGGCGTCGTAGAGTGGAGGTGGGGTTGGGGATGAACGACATTTAAGGGTTAATAAGAGAGTGGAGAATTGGGGACGGGGAAGAAGCTTGAAGAGGACGAGAGAATGGAATATATATTATTTGCAGAGGAGAGTGACATATGGGAGTGAGTTGGTGATGATGGATTTTGTGGGTCTTGATTCTTGCTTGCGGTGCTGCTTTTGATTTTGCTTCTGCTTTTGCTGCAGCTGCTGCTTCTTCTTGGTTTCCATCGCCTTCATGCAGCCGCTATCTGTCTCATCAACGTAAAATTCACATGGCTTTTTAGTTTAGCTTTCATCGAGCTTCTGCTGTTTTTCAGCTGCTCATGTTTGGACGGTTGCTTGCTTGCTTGCACAGTCCCTCCCTCCTTTCTGTCGTTTCTGTTTATGTGTTTTTTATTTTATACGAGGGACATTCTATTGTAATCTAACTAGCGTGTGACAATTGGTTTTTTTTAATTTTTTAATATTTTATTTTATAATTAAAAAAGATAATGGTTCTCATTATCTTATTTTGTTTTTAATTTTTTTTAAATATGTAAAAGTGTGAATTTGTCATATTATCCTCATTTAATTAATCATTTCAATTCTTAATCTTTGCCTTAGGAGAGGGGGATTCAAACTCGAATAGGGAGCACATCAGCTTATGTTTATGTTTGTTTAAATGATTGTGATGGTATTCTAAGTCAATCATGTATTATTATGTGTTTTATTTTATTTTATTCTACCTTTTCATATAGGAATACGTAATTTACTTGAAATACCACCAGTGTCATGTGAGTTCTTTTCCCCTTAAGCACAAGTCGTGGTACTTCAACACATTATTTACCAATGTGGTCTGCAGCTAATGGTATGCAGTTTGATCTCTCATAGCACAATGTGCGTGTGTGTGAAAATATACCCTCTTTTCTTTCTTAATTATAGCAAAAAAATGAGAAGAAAAAAAAACATATTATTTTCATACTTGATTTTTTATTTAATTCACATGGCATTATAACGGTGAATTTATAGGCCCCATATGCATGTTACGGCAGCACGCTAATAGGATGATACATGTTGAAAAAGAAAAGATGGAGGACTACGATAGTTTGGGAAACCTCATAGACGTTTTGAGATTAAAATAAATATATAAATAAATAAATAAAACCCCTTTGAGAAATAAAAAACAATAGCATGGTAAAGGGCCAAAGTCTAAACAAAACAAATTGACTAACAATTAGTCTGTGTCGGACAACTCCTCCAAATATCTTAAAAAATTAGACAGCACGCTTCACTTGAGGAGCCTCAAATTGAACTGACCGAGCTCCAAACTAACTCCAAGTTTATCATCAGCAACAAAGTTGCCTTCTCTCGGCATACTCCTCCATCTACTACTCTATTTTTATGTGTTGCATTGCATTTGAGTTAAGAAAGAAAAATAATTTTCAAGAGATTTGTAGCTGAAGTGATTATGAGCATTTATCTCTGCACTCAAGGTCCTAAATTTGATTCCCCTAACTCTAATATCGCTTTTATAAAATAAAAAAATTAAAGACAAATGAATCGTTGCCATTTCAATTGAATTTTAAAAAGAGGGTTAGGACAAATAGAGGAAAATTTTTGTTAGAAATAAATTAGGGTGGTTCGATCTTCACCAACTTGTGCAGGGCTTGCAAACAGGGACGGAGTCGTGTTTGGGCTTGACATGGCCCTGGATCCCCCAAAATTTTCCCATATAATATAATATTTTAATGTTATGCTATGTGCATATTACAGAAAATGTTGTTTCTCTGTCCCCTCTAATATATGCAACTCTTGAATTGTGCTCTCTTTTTTGGTTTTTTGTTCCTTTTACCATTCTTGGTGTTTTAAAATCTATACCTTGTTATGTGCTTTGAACATTAAAATATATTCTTTCCATTAGAGCATTAAGTTTTGCCCACCCCAACCGTCCCAGCAAAAAATTATAAATTCTAACTCCATCCCTGCTTGCAAAGATAAAATTGGGGTTCTTTGTGTTATCCTATCCAAAAAAAAAAACAAAGTTGCCTGCACTGCAGACGTAATGAGAATTATGCTCTTATAAGTGGATGTATTTTATATGCAACTTGTAGCTCTAGAATATGTTCACCTCTCAATGCCTCAATGCCTCAATGCCTCTTTTAAGACTTTTGGTGCCCAATAACTAAGACACGACTTACATCTATATCTATGTCAAGGGCCATGTAATACAAGCCATGCCAAGCCCATACTTCTGCTGGTGGAATGGAATATATTCTGCCGGAACACATCTCCATCATCCATCATCTTAATCCCACACCTCTATAAAAACCAAGACACCCCATCCAAATCCAACCCTCATATTAACCACAAACAAGAAGCATCTCCACTCTAAGAAAATCCCCAAGCACTCTTACCCATGCATGCACCCATCCGAATTTAAATCCCCAAGCATTTTAGAGTTACTGTCAAGTACAGCCATAATACCAGGGATGGCAACGGGCCAGTTTGGAGTTGAGTACGACAATATTATACTTGTCTCCACTCCTCATCCCCGATAAGAATTTTCAGGGAATCTCCATCCCTGTCCGTGTTCGGGGATTTCCCAAACCCACCCAATCCCTTTTTTTTTTTTTTTTTTTTTTTTTTTTTTCTTTTTTTGTTTTTTAAAAAATTTATTTTACATTATAAAACTAATTTCACCTTTTTTTTTTTTTTGAGAAATTCTGGGATTACATTCATAATTCCGGCTTCAGTCAAAAAAACCACTAGTCACAAATGGTCATTACAATAATGAAGCGATCTAACATCAAAACTAATTTCACCTTAAACTATCAATCACATTTGATTGACCTATAAAATTCAACTCAACTACTCATAATCATCTCAATTCAATTTTACAAAACTAAATAAATATTAAGTTATATATTTATTGATTATATTATATTATATGTATATTACATAAACATAAATATATTACATATCAGGTCGAGTTCAGGAATGGAGATAACAATACCATTCCCAACATGTACCCAAATGTGAATTTTTAAAATTCGGGAATCTCCGTGCCCGCCTCCAATATTTCCTCAAAATATCCCCAATTAAGACCAGGAACCCGATAAGGGTCCAACCCGACAAGAATTTATGTCATCCCTACATAATACTCACCGAGGCCGAAGCCCATGGAAGGGAACCATGTCAAATTAATTCTCCATCTTAATTCACCCATCAGAATTTAAATCCCCAAGAATTTAGGGCATGTTTACGTATCAGTAATGGGTATAAGAGGAAATGGAATGATTTCCATTCATAACTTCCCATGCGTTTACTTGCAATCAGGAATGAAAAAATAAGTGAGCCCCACCTCAAAATCCATAATCACATTCCCTCAAAACTAGGTATCAGATCACTAGGGGGAGTAGTCAATACGATTCCCATTCCTGTTTTCTCTTAATAACTTCCAAAAATACCCTTACCACTTTACCATAATTCTAAAATTAATTTAGATTCTGATTCATTCAAATTAGTAAACAATAACAATGGGAATCAATCACATTCCTTTGCTAATTCCATATGTTTAGTAAACAACTTAGGGCATGTTTACGTATCAGTAATGGAGAAACTAAGGAATCAGAGAATTTAGGAATCGGAGAACTACTGAATTGGTATGGGAAGAATCATTCCCATTAAGCTGTTTACTAAACATCTAGAATTAGCAATGGAATGGGATTGATTCCCATTGTTATTGTTTACTAATTTGCATGAATCAGAATCCCAAATTAATTTTAGAATTATGGTAAAGTGATAAGGGTATTTTTGGAAGTTATTAAGAGAAAACATGAATGGGAATCGTATCGACTACTCCCCCCTAGTTGATTTGATTCCTAGTTTTGAGGGAATGTGATTACGGATTTTGAGGTGGGGCCCACTTATTTTTCATTCCTGATTGCAAGTAAACGCAGGAGAAGTCAGGAATGGAAATCATTCCCTTTCCTCTCATTCCCATTACTGATACGTAAACATGTCCCCGATTCCTAAATTCTCTTATTCCTTACTTTCTCCATTACTTTCTTCTCATTCCCACTACTGAATTGGTTGATGTAATCTTCCCATACCGATTCAGTAGTTCCCCGATTCCTAAATTCTCTTATTCCTTACTTTCTCCATTACTGATACGTAAACATGTCCTTAGAGTTACTATCTTATTGCTAGATTACATCAACCAAGCCAAACTTAAGCTATTGCTCAAACCCAAACTTAAGTCACCATGGTCAATACCCACGGACTTGTCATAAACTCCAATCCAAGCTTGAGCGGTCGAAAATACTTTGGTGGCCGGCCAGAAGACTTAGAGGAGGAGTAGCTGGACACCATTTTAAGCCATTGAAAGCATCACTAAGGCATCTCAAGTCAAGAGCCACCTAAGCAAAGCAACCCCAAGAGCCGCAACAACCACAAAAAAAAATTAATCTTCACTAAAGCTTACTTCTTATTGTCCTCGCCTCAAATAATATTTGAGGAACACCCTTTAGGGTTCCCTAAATTTTTTTTTCAACTATCCAAACCGTCTATTTTTCAAGTCTTCATTCATAAATCATCTATGCAAAAAATCATATAACTTGAAAATCATTAAGGCATCTAGTTGGGACCAACACAATAGACAAACACAATGCTTCAAGAAAAAAACTATAATAACAATTATATAATTAAGTGGTCAAATGGTTTTGAATTCAAGTGATTTTTTGCAGAGATGATCTTTGATGTAATATATAAAAATTAGACGGTTTAGATCATTGAAATACAATGTCTGATGGGCCCTACAAAGATGCCCCTCAACTGAAACTCACTATATGTGTATATATATATATATATACAATGATTGAAATATCGGCCGATACACCGATATATCTGCTGATACCGATATCCCCGACACCGATATATCGGTATTTTCAACTATCGACACCGATACTGGGGGGTAAGGCTATATCTTCCCCTGTATCGACGATATATCCTTCGATAAGTGCGATATTCCCGATATTTTGCCGATATCCCCGATATTTTCCGATATCCATAATAGAACAAAAAAAAATTCAAAAGTTTTGAAGGCAATTAAAGCAAATTGAAACCCAAAAATTGCTAATCCTTGCCCAGAACCTTATAATTTATTAATATGAAGAATCTATGCACAGTCCACTGCCCACATACCTCCAATCCATTTGAAGAGGACATGACGATCAATTTTGGATCTACGAGCACAGGAACTAGACCTACTACTAACTCAAATAAATCTTATTATGGCTATGGTCATGTCATGTCTGATTATAGTGGAACTAGGAGCTCAAGATGATGAAACAGATTATGGACCTACTAGTTGGGTTAATCCTAACTATCCTATCTATGGGAGGACAGTAGGGAGCTTGATAGAGACTTATGTGCACCATGTTCTAACATGGCTTACAAACTGTTCGGGTTACATGACTTGGTATGACTATTGTATGAATCTGGATGGTTGTTCCTCATTGTTTGAATCTCATAGGAGCTCTTCATTTATGTAGGTGGACACTTATTTAAATTGTAATCCAATGTTTAAACAAACTATATGGATTTATGCATGGTTTATTCATTATAATCAAAATTTTATTTTCAAACTTTTCATTAATGCGCATTACATACCACTTATATTTCATCAATGTATATCTTATTATTAGTAAATTTTGAGTTTTATTTGTTCAATACATTTATTGATAATGTACATAACATCTATGAAAGTTTTACACCAAAATTATGTGTTTCAATGCCTATATCTGTCCTTTTTGTTGATTTTTTCCCGATACCTAAAACGATAACGATATATCCCTCGAAATATCTGTAAATTGGAGACCCGATATTATCTGCATGGCCGATATTTTAATATATATGCTAGGAGATTGTATAAAATTGTGAGCATGCCACTATTAGCAATGCAAAAACCCTAATAAACTTGAAGGAATAATAAAGTAACTTGCACACCAAGAAACTAATTTATAATCAAAAGATTGTGTAGTGAATGGGGAACTCTTTCAATGTTGGTTCTTTTCTATTCCTCAAGACAAATGAACACCTTAAAATTTCTCTAATACAATGAAAAAGAATAAAACAACAAATAAAAAGTAAACAAAGGGTGAGATCGATGGATCTGATTAGAACTGGGACCACTACCACCTTAGAGAACTTTCTAGATTGATTTGAGCACTTGGGAAGACTTGGTGGCAGTTAGAACTTGCACTATACTACTGTGCTAGCTAGCTATTTTAGTAAGAAATCATACACATGCAATCCATATTTCCTATGTATGCTTATGAGCTTCTGTAGTGCCTGAATTGTCATTGACCTTTTAATAAAAGTTTGCAATCAGTTCTATCATTCAGAAATCAAATGATAGACATACTTGGTGCTATACTTGTTGTTGAGGTTGGCTCACATATTGGATGCAGAAGGAACGAAGGAAATAAGCAATCAAGGGGTTGCAGACCTAGTGATTGGGCTCTAGGGCTCGAGCGGCAGAATGTCAAAATTCGGGCACTCAAGCGGGGGCTCTAGCGGCAGTCACGTTGCGTATGCAAATCCTACTCATTTTAGGATCGTTTTTTCTTGGATTTTGAGGAGTTTTAGGTTTCTTATTCAGTATATGATTTTACTACCTATAAAATAGGCATGTTAGTGCTAGGGTTTTTAAAGGGCATCAAATTGGGTTTGAGCAAGGGTGAGAGAAAAGAGAGTAAGGGTTTCTTGTGAGAGCTAAGGGTATTCTTCATTGTAACCAAAGTTGTTATTGTATACTAGTGAATTTCTCGAGTGGGTCACCAAGAGAGCATAGGCACAACGCTGAATCTGTATAAATTCTTGTGTTCTCTATGTGCTTGCTTTACTTTGTGGGTGTGTGTTTGCTTTGTTCTTATGTGGCTTGTGTGTGCGTGTTTGCTTTGTTCTCGTGTGGCTTGTGTGTGTGCCTGCCGGTTGTGTAGTACATCAACGACAAGATCTCAGAGTGTTTTCGCACAACACTTGTTTCACAAGTGTAGTATAAAATGAATCGTTGGGAAATAAAAAAAGATAGTTAAAATGGGATCCCGAGCCTCTACATTTCGCATTGTGCATTTACACACATTTGGCTTAATCTAAACCATCACAAAATTCCAATGGTTGAAGCTCAAGCCACATAAACTACACTAATTTTAAATTATTATTATTTAATTTAATGGCTAACTTTGTTCCATTAGCCCTTTTACCAATACTTTGGCTCCCGATGCTTTTTTTTTTTCACCTTCCAAAAAAATTGATTTCAATTCATTTGTGAGTCTTTTTGGAGCATCGTATGTCTCTCTACAGAGCAGCCGAAGAACCTTATCACCCAACAAAATTCGCTTGGATAAGAGAGGGAAAGGGAGAAAACATAGATAAAAAGAGGCGATTTAGAAATCCTCGAAGAATCTTTTGGACTGAGGTGGATCCACAATTCAAGTCCATCACTTCTTAACCAACAATAAATTATTCTTTCATTCATCATTCTGTCTTTAAAATAACACTAAAACTAAATTAGCTGATGTGGCTTGCTTTTTACTATTAGATTATTGTGATGGTTCATATTAAACTAAATGCGTGTAGATACGTAGGCTGGTGATCCATTGAAATAAATAATATACAGATTGTACCTTTAAATAATAATAATAATAATAATAATAATAAAAATACAGATTGGCATTGACGCATTCATGAAAGTTGAAACAACCAAGCAAAAGGAAGTCCCATAATTTCGAAAGCCACATCCAAACATGATTGTATGTCGAAGATGATCATTAATTCCCAGTAGCAGAGCAAAACCACATCATCACAAAACATTTGGTGCCAGCACACTCACAAGAGGGCGGGTCCCACTGTTCTATGCAACAGCCCTACACAACAATTTCTCCTCCCCAATACTCTCTCCTATTTTAGACTTCGGCGCCGCACCACGTCGCAGTCACAATGTCACCGCCTCACATGAGGGGAGCATGGGTGGGGTGGGACCACTGAAATAGTTAAAAATGAGTCCGTGACTCACTCTAGTCCTGTCTTTGATTAACTTTTTGTCTTAATGTCCGTGCCATGCCATCAAACCTTTTCCCCTGCTTTTAAGCTTCACATGCAGCTAATCTTTTTTTTTTCTTTGGTTTTACATACATTTTAAAAAATTAATTACATTTTTGGTCTCTATGATTTATCTCAAAATCAAATATCGTTACGATAATTTTAATTTTCCTAATTTCATCACCGTAGTTACAATAATTAACAAATTTAGTCCTATATCTCTCAATTCCGTTAGTTTGCTTAATTAAAAAATATTTAATTTGGAATTAAAAATAATTAACTTAAATATAAAAAACATAAAAAATTAAAAACGTGACAACAATTAAAAAACCCCCAACCTACACAATTAATCCCGACCAAACCCCCAGCCGTCACTAACCCGCAACCCAAACCCAGCATCTCCGCCGTCCCCATCCTTTTTCTTCCTCCTTTTCCACCATCCCCACCTTCGTTCCCTACACCCATTTCTCCTTCAGACCCCTACACTCATCCCTGTTTTTACTTTTTAATTTTTTGTTTCTTTTCCAATTACACAGTGTAGATCATAGATCAATTAGATATACCCAGATTTTGAATTTCTTTGTTCAACAAAATCCTCTGTTCATAGCTTAATCAAACCCATTCAAAATTTCGATTTTTTGTAGCTCAATTGTGGCCCATTTCTCTCAATTTCTGATATGGATGAGTTTGGTGTCTTAACCGAACAATATGGGTTGAAGCCCCAAGGAAAATCGGCTCCAATGGCAGCATCCAAACGATCCACAAGCACCAACGGCACCCAAGCCTGGAGTTCAAACAAAGGGAAATCGGGTGGATGGGGTCTGGGTTGTTGGATTCGTTTGGGGGGGGGGTCTATGGATGATTTTTTTCTTTCTCTTTTCTGTAGTTGCTGGGGTTCTGGGTTCTGCCGATGATTTTTTTGTTTTCTCTTTTTTGTAGTTGCCGGCTAGGGTGGGGGCAGCTGGTGGTCATGGGAATGGGGGGAGCGTAGAGGAGAGGGGGAGAAGAAATCGATGCGGGAGAGGAGAGAGAGAGTTTTATTTTAAAATTTAATTAAATTAAAATTTTTAATTTTTAATTAATTTAAAATTAAAAAAAGAGAAAATGTGAGAACCCTAGTGCGACATAGACAACTAACAGAGAAAAAATGTAATAAATTTAAAAAATGGAGTATGTGATTGAAAAAATTAAAAACATGTCTTAATTGTGAAATCACAATATACTAAACTGTAATGAATTCTTTTATTTATTAGATAACAAATAAGAATTTACTAATATTTTTATGTCAAGACTAGTAGCTAGAAAAGAAAAAAGAAAAAAGAGAAAAGAGAAAAAAGCGCTCCTTCATCCGATGTAAGTTATAACGTTAACTTCTCCCTCTGTGTGAAATTGTGAAAGTGTTTGACTTCTCTCTGGTCTGGAACACAGTCTCTCTGCAATGCCTGTAAATGCCTCCGACGAGGTAAAATCCCTTCACTTTATCTTCTCTTTTCCAAATGAATAATCTCATTTCTCTTCTGCATTGCGAAGCTTACACTGTCTTTGAGTTTACACACTCTTAAATTTGAAGATTTGCTCACTACATATGCTCTTCCTGTCCAATTCGACTTGCTTCTAGGTTCAACTTCAAACTGTACGTTTTTTTTTCTTACTAAGAAATTTAACTTCGAAGGTGGTAAAAAATTGGTCTTTTCAACTAACAATCTCGCTAGAATTTTAGATGCACTACAAAATCAAGCGCATAATTCTAAGCCTTTCTAATTTTTCATCACCCAGCAGAATCTGGTATCTGTTGGGTTCATGAATACTAGCTCATTGACTCTCAGTTTACTAACAATGGTTCAATTCAAGGCTGAGTGGCTCCGAAATGAAGTGGGTTTCGTTGAAACTGCATTACAACACTGATTTTCTGATGGGCTTCGTTGTAGGCATCGTTATCGAATAGGTTTAGAGATGTCCCCTTAACCCTTCTTCTTTCTTCATGCGGATTGGTGGAGATTTTTATGTTGAGCTTTCTTTCTTGGTCCAGACATAGCTAGCTGGTTGATAGAGACTTTTATTATACCGTTGGTGGACTGATGGATAATGCTATTGTATTTTCTTCATTTAATTTAGTAAGTCGTTTTATTTTCAATGAAGGAGAAAAGAAATGTTAGTAGAACTAGAGTAGTCTTTACAAGTCATGGCGTTGATAGTACCCTTTCTAATCAAAGGTTGCTTACTGCTTTCCTAAATTCTTTTGTTGAGCTTGAAATTCGGCTGTTCAACTTTTGAATTGCAAGTCAATGTCGTCTTTGTTTAGTATTAAGATTGTCTTATATTATTTTTAGGTACCTAACCTATCAATAATTCAGGAAAAAGTCTCCTAGCTATATTATTTTGAAGTTAAATGCTTGCATGCCTGCCAAAATGACATGAGCACAAATATTGGATTCAGGTGCTCAATGTTGTATCCCTTGCGTGTTCAGTGAAAAGGAAGAATGTTTGGACTACTAATGGCCTCAATACCCTCAATTCTCAATAACCTTGTCTAAATTTCTCAACCCTTCAGTGGCCAAAGGGGAAAAAACTCCTCGTTTAGAATTTTTGGAATTCTCTTGGTTCTTTATATCATCATATAGAAGTGGTCTTGTTCCAGTTTGCAGTTTCAATCAATACCATATGTTAAATGTTAAATTTTATTTTGAGGTACAGTTTTATGCATGCATGAATCTAACACATACATTACTGGCCGGGAAAACCTTACATCCAGGGAAGTGTGGGTCAAAGTTGCAGCATACCTGTTAGCTGTTCAAATTTTAAATTGCTAAAGCAAACTATTGATGAAGTCGACCAGCATTGCTCTCTTGGTATCTCTCTCTCTCTCTCTCTCTCTCTCTCTCTCTCTTTCTCCCCTTTGTGCTAAAGAAAAAAAGATAATTGTAGATAATTAGTTCATGTAAGCTCTGTTAGCTCCTTCAATATTTATAATGGCATTTCATTCCAGATATTTTGCCTCTTCTTTTAGAGAAGGCTCCACTTCCAGCAAAGCTGAAATGTCCCTTTCACAGCTCACATGTAAGTTTCCACCTTCTAATATTTAATACTGTGCTGGAATAATTTTAGGCTTATGTTTTTTTGTGTGGAAGTTCTGCTGTTTTGATTGCAAATTTAATGCTTAAACGCGGAATACATACATAATTTCACACCTATATACACTAGTCCTTTCTAGTGGGATCCCGTTTTCTAAGAAGTACACAGGATAGCATCGTTGGGTCCATCCCTGAATGTGGTCCAATGATCTGAACCATCTAAATTTTGGATAATTAATTAGGGAGCATCCCATGGAAAAAATTAGTAACCGGTAAAATTTTGACCATTTAACTATCATGTTCAGTGTAAATCTGGAACTCATTGGGTGTCTATTTGTTTGATCATATTTAGATGACTTAATGGTTCCTGGTTTGGTTATTATTATTTTATTTTATTTTTGTTTTTTGTAAGGGGTTCCTTGATTAGGGATTTAACAAATGGATGATTTGGATTATTAGACCACATTGAAGGCCTCCTTATAAGTTTTCTACATATGCATATATTTTGTGCGCATAAATACACCTAATGCTGTATGACTTTGTCTAATAATTTACATTAGAAATCGAAAACGTGTGTACAATTTGACATTGAATTCGGTCTGGGTTTCATTTATTCAACAAAAGAGGATACATATCTATGTGTATGACTAATTGACGTTTTCATCTTACACCTGGATAGGACCTTTTGTCTTAACTCACCTGGATACATTAATAAAGTCATTTTTTTTTATGGATTCTCCATTAATCTTTCAGTTATTACTATTGGCTCCTACTGTAGACCCATTTTGGTTATCATTGAGTCAAGGAGTCTGTTTAAGTAAAGTTAACAAAACATCAGTGATGTGGTTTCAAGTAAGACTTTTTGTTTCAAGTTCACAGCATTTTGAAGTCTTCTATTGTGCAGGCCCCAGATGTCTATTGCATTTCAATGTTGCCCGAAGAAGGCAACAGTTTACGATGTGCTTCAGTATTGGGCTATTTGAACTTTTTAAAAGTTTATAATTCATCTAAAAGTCAGATGTGCATGGATGCTCAGTCGAGTTGCCAGAACGGCATTGATTCACAAGCAAACATGGCAGATTCTCATCCCCCATGCATCATTGAAATAGATCTTGAGAAGGGATGTATTCAAGCACCAGAATCTGAAGAGGAAGCTATCGAAAGTTTGAAACGTGAGGGTTTACTCACTGTAAGTTACAAGTGGTCATCTTTTAATGGTTTATCCTTTATTTATCTAGAATAAACTGCAAACTAGAGATGTTCCAAAAATTTCTTTTCATACATTAATTTCCATCACTTTCGACATTTTCTGTTTTCTGCTATTTCTAATTTTAATATCAGTGGGTTACAACACTTTCAGAGGGTGTTTCGCAGACAGGCAAGCCTAAAAGTAGGTGGGAAACTTATGCATCTTCTATTCAACCATGGCACTTCAAGAGGTACGTAAGATTTGTTCTGTTTGTTTCTAAATTATTATGTTGTTTGAGTCATTATTTTTCCGTACTACTTTGAAACCAAAAAGAATATAATGATAATCCTGGTGATAAGTCGTAACCTACAGATTCTTGTACCAAGTTTCCATGTACCTTGTGGGATGCCTGTTTGTTCCAAAGAGATTTGGGACTTATTTTAGCCCAACTGGAGCCATAATGACTCAGTAATAAGTTCAATCCTGAGTGAACTTTAAACTATTCTCATTCTCCGTTTCAACAGCATTCTTCTACCTTTAAAAGTATTTGACCTGAACTTTAAGATAGAAAACGTAGAAGGTCTGACCAGAAAAAAGGAAAGAAAAAATCTGGACTCTATGTTATCCTTTTATTTATTATTTATCTTCTCTAAGACCACAATATGTTGAATCTTCCGGAGTTTTCTGCTTAAGATGCATATTGCATAAATATAATAAATTTTTCTAGAAGCATTACTTTTGAGGCTCTCTCACTTTTATCTAAGAGATGGATGACTTGTCCACAGAAGTCTCTCTCACTAATATTTTTACACTTTTCTACACAGTAAATGAGAAGTTGATTTGATTCTCATATTTTCAACAGATAACCCAGTGCCTGAGAAAGTTCATGAAACACCAAACAACCGGTGGAGAAGATGCAAACGCACTGCCTCATTTGATTCCAGAAAAGTCGTTTTCCTGTTTTCAATCTTGTAAGTAGTAAAATAAACAAGCTGCTACTAATATATATATATATATATATTCTTTTACAATTGTGAAATCTTTCTTCCAGAATACTATGGATTTTATGTCATGAGACTTTTTAAACAAGAAATTGACTTGATCAGACAAACTGTGATTATCATGACCAACAATTGGATGAGGAAAAATGACATGTAATGTTTTAGTTGGATTGATGTGAATTCTAAACTTTAATGTTTTACATTGACACACTTTCAGTAGAAATCGTTAGTCTCAAGTTAGTACTTGATTTGATCTGACACTTTGTAACTGTCATGAACAACAGTAGGATGGAGAATGGTGGTTTTTTGTCATAGGGTTTAATTGATGTGAATATTAAAGTTTTCAAATATTTCAAATTAAAATAGTTTGTTGAGTGCTCAGATTCCATTCTAAGTATCATGCTTAATGTTCAGGTCTTCGTTCTTCACATAGGGTATAGTGTGCAGTCACTAAGTATCATAATGCAGCAACAATTAATCTAAACTACTGAATCTCATCATGACATAACTTATGACTCTAATGATTCACCAACAATTAATCTCAGGTCTTGTAGATTCATCTTATACAGTCACTAAGTATCAAGATTCAACATACTGGGTCTTAATTCTTTCTAAGTGTCATGTTTAGATTAATCTTAAAATTAATTTAAACCTATTTGACTAGTTATTGGTTTTTTTTGGAAAATCAATTTGGGGTACTATTCTTTTTATTTTTTATTTTTTCAAGAATATCAATAATCTAGTAAGAAAGACACAAATGTATCAGATAAACTTTTGGAAAACTGAAAAGAGAAGCCAAAGTATTCACCTTTGGCCTGAACGTGGTTCAGCCCCTGAACACAATTACATCACCAGCTACATACACTGTCAAAACTTCATGTCCTTCATTTGGGAATTCTGCATAACCTGTTCAGTGTCTCTAGTTCTTTGTACCAAGTTTGGTGCCTAGAAAGCAAAAAGGGACTACATGGCAGCCAATTATGAAAAAGCTTGGCATCAGAAACAGGATGCTTACCACTAAAAATGTAAAGCTGAACCTGTGCCATTTATAATTCAGTGAGCAGGATAATTGCTAGAAATAGAGGAAGATAAGGTTTTGTGAGTGAAGCCATGATGGTATGGTGAAGATTACTGGTCAATATTTGGTTGAAAGAGTCAATATACTGTTGTTTTTTTACCTCCTGTTTTTGTGCAGTGTGTCTGCTTTTGATGTTGAGCTTCAAATTTAAAAAATTGTGCAAAAGATGGGATGTAGGGACAAAACACGATTGCAGTTTTTTGGATGAATCTGAGAGATATGGGTAGTCAGTATCAGTAGGATGGTGTGGAAATTGCTAGTAAAATTCATGATCAACCAATTAAATTAGGGACAGTATATTACAGTGGGATTGTTGTGCAGCACGCAATAAAATCCAGAATACTAGAACCAGGTTCCTGATTTATCCAAAATTTTAGCTACAGAAAATCTGATTCTTCTGGGTCAAGTGCTTGCTAATTGGTGCTCTCTGTGTAAGGCACCAAGAGATTCTGTGGCCCTTCTTTTGTCTACTGTCCTATACCTGGATTTATGGACCTTCATCTTTTGCATGACAGTAGTTAGGTGTTCTAGCTCTAATACTGATGTGGTTTGGAATTGGCCTGTTGCCTGCGTAAAGAGGCGGTAAAAAGACTAGTGGAAAGTTTTCCCTCTTTGCATCTTTTGGTGCTTGCTATTTAAGTGGAATAGCAGAGCTTCTTTAACTTGTTTCTTTTTTCGGTCAGGTTTTATTCTTTCCTTTGGTTTATAATCTTTTGCATTCAGCTTTGTGTTGGCTGTCACCTTTTCTTTGGCTTGGTACTAAGTAGGTTACTTACCACAGAACGAAAAAAAGGAGCAAAACATCAGGACATTAGATGTGAACTAGAATGGGAAACTGCAGAAAGTTATGGAAAAGAGGTAGGTTGCAAAGGAAGACGTGCATAAAGTATGGTAATCACATGATACATCTCCAGTAGTTGAGATGATGTTCATTTTAGTCTAATGCTTCATCTTCGTATTTGACGCTGGAGGATATTAGTACTTTGTAACAAGATTTAGTCATTCCATGTATTTTTAAGTTTGGTTGAGTCATGTCGACAGAACTTGGCATTCTTGTTTGATATTTTTAGTGTGTTTGGTTATTCTACTGCTTTACTACAAGTGTACAAATTGTGCTTTGTGGTCTGGAAACTAGATCACCCGTTCCACAAATGGCAATTGCTTTATTTTTGTTCCAAAACAAGTAAACAAACCTGAATTCCAATGGTTAAAGAAAGGTGCGCTTCATTTTTAAGGGTCATGATGCTTTTGTTGAAACTGCATGTACAGATACTGATATGCCTACATTTATGGTCGTAATATATGTTGCAAACCCAGGAAATTTGGTTTTCCTTTTCTTCTCGATCGTTTTTCTATGAATAACAATCATCAATTTCTGTTTTCCAGGTCAAGTTTGGGGACATTGGTTTTGATATATCTGACATTGAGAGTTCGGCAGAGTGCAGATGGTTTCATTCATGTCTAATTCGCTGCCACCTCATTCATGCTTCAAATGACTTAGTTGCTGTTGTGTCTTGAGGGCTACTTCTGAATTAACCTTCTTTGTAATGTAAATATTTGGCATTTTCTGGTGTCTTCTGTATATGGATAATTAGATTGTGGTGTTGTAATAATGCTATATGGTTTGCAGCTATCGAAAGCTGATAGCAGACTTTTTAATTTGGATAATCTCCCATCTTGTTTAGTGTTCAAACCGAAAAAAGTACATTAATGGGTATCTGAAAGAAAAATGTTTGGATTTCTTGAAAGTAAAAAACAAAAAAATCTTCGATTTCGAAAAATGGTGGTTGTAGTAGTCCCTTCACACCACTTTCGATAGCAGTGTTGGTCAATTTACGGGTAATATGGTCATTTTAAGTCCAACCCCATCACCCACACTAGTTCAACCACTCTTAAGGCTAGTTTTGACATTGCTGTGTTGTGAAAATAATCGATGTTAGATTTGCTGTGAGAGAAATCAGCTGTGAAATAAAGCAGTTTGGCGTTTGGTAAAATTTTTGTTAAAAGTGTTGTTGGTATTGATTTTATGCATAATTAGAAAATGATTGCCGCATAATCATTAAACCCAACGCTTCTTCAAAACTAATTCCTGCGTAATTAGAAAATGAAAGCACTTCATTAGATGCTTTCCCTTATAGCTTTCTCTCACATCAATTTTTAACAATAAGTGATTTTCTCACAGTTTACCAAATGAGTTGGGCTTCTCAAAATTTTTAAAAAATCACTTATCACTCCAAATAAGCAATGTCAAGCTAGCACTTACTCCCATTACCACTCAGTACTCGAACCTACCATTCCTACCACCACTAGCGAAGAACAAAGAACAAGGGAAAAAAATTAAGGGAAATAGTGCTTAATGCCACCAATTTTTTAATTTTAATTAGAAATACCACCTTTTCCCATATCGGCTAGATAACACTTTTGGTCAGTTTTTGGCTTCTCTCTCAGCACTCTCTTTCAACTCTATCTCATAGTTCTCTCTCTCTCACTTACTCCCATTACCACTCGGTACTCGAACCTACCATTCCTACCACCACTAGCGAAGAACAAAGAACAAGGGAAAATTTTTTAAGGGAAATAGTGCTTAATGCCACCAATTTTTTAATTTTAATTAGAAATACCACCTTTTCCCATCGGCTAGATAACACTTTTGGTCAATTTTTGGTTTCTCTCTCAGCACTCTCTTTCAACTCTATCTCATAGTTCTCTCTCTCTCTCTCTCTCTCTCTCTCTCTAGCTAACTACGCCTCTTCTCACTAAGAAGAAGATCAAGAACAACCTACAAAACCCACAGCTTTTGCCCTCAAAACCCAGTTCTTCCTCTTCCTCTCTGTTTTCTTCTCTACCAAATCCAAACCCCAACTTCATCTCTCACCGAATCCATTCTGCAACCTAAACAAACCCAAACAAAACCATCTTTTTTGAATAGGACAACATGTCTTGGCATTAAGTAGCCATTGTTTGAGCATTTTGGTCCAATTTTGGGGGGTTTTGAAGTCAGGGTTTACATGCCCTCTTCAAGAACAGCTTCACCATAAAATGAATTGTTGTGAATATGTAAGTTTTGATGTTAAATTGAATTTGATTACTGAAATTGGAATTGTGATTGATTTCGTCCGTATTTTGTGTAGAAAGTGAAGTATTGAGATTGATTTTGTTTGTCTGAAACAACAAATGTGTTTGTTCTTTGTCGATTGATTCTTGGATTTGGTATTGGGATTTTCTATGAACTTGTTATGATTATGTCATAGTGAGGTAGCATTTTTGATTTGCTATTGCAATTGTATTGTGGTTTTTTGTATTGTAGTGGTATTGTTTTGTATTGCTATGGTATTGCTGTTACATTGATTTTTTTTGTTGGTGTTTTATTGATATGTTACTGTAACTTAATAGGAATATATGTTGATATCATTTTTATTTATCTGCTTGTGATTTGTGCAAAGAGTTGAGATTATTCTTGGTTGAAATATTATTTACGATCTCTCTCTCTCTCTCTGCTCTTCGTATTTTTCTCAACATTTATGTGTTAATTTAATGCCTCGTATTGTTTTGGAATCATAATCATTGTCAATCTCATTGTTTCTTTAAAAGATTACTGTGAAATTGTTACTCCATTTTCTTCTTTCCTTTGTTTTAAGATATTTTTGTTTGGAGAAAAAGAACTATGTTTTTGTAATCTAAAAGACTAGGTACTCTTGGTGAGTGTTTTCTGATATGCAAGATCAAACTTAATGTATGTCAGTTTACTACTTTTGCACTTGAACTTTGGCTGTCTAAAATTTGAAAAGTCTTGTATGCCAACAGTGTATCTATGTTACACATCTTGGGTAAGAGGTATTCTTCAATTGTGATAGTTTGCTTTGTTGTACGTATTCAAACTGCCTCAAAATGTTTTCATTGCTGTCTTGAGTTCAATACTAGCAACAGTTTTTTAATGATAAGAAATTATGAAAAGCTTATACATAACAGACATATAGTTGAACATAGCTAAAGTGTATATCTAGAAAGATGTCATTGTGCTTCAAATTAGCAAATTTTTGGGGTGAAAGCACAATGGTTGACATGCCATTTTGCATTTGATGAAAATAATTGATGACTTTGTATGGAAGTATACTCATTAAATATCTTAGATTCTATCAATGAATGAAATATTTGCCTTCGAGAGCTTCATGTTTTTTGGTTTGTTTTATCAAGTATCTTTTATTCTATAAATGAATGAAATATTTTGGTAGATTGGAGAGACTAGTTAGCTAGTGGATTTTGGATCATGACTTTTGAGGAGAACTAGCAAATAAGTTTGGCTTATGCTTGTTATTATTAGGCCCCAAGAATTAGTAATTTGTAAGGACATCTAAGACATTATGTATTTTCTTGTGGAGCATTATGACATGAGCTGTAGGTGAACTCATTGCTTGCAGTTAGCTTGTACTTAGTAGCATGCAATAGTCATCTTCTTAAGTTGTTTGAGAAGTGGAAATTATTTGGGCCTTTGAAATTGAAATTTGTTTTTTATTACTTGTTAATTTCCATTTTATTGCCTATTTATTGTCATTCATTGCCATTTTATTGCTTTGTGGTAGACAGTTAACTTCTCTCTTAATAATAGCAAACTCTCTTCCCTCTTAATAATTTTTTTTCATTATTAACTTCATTTTGATATGGAGATTATATTTGTGAACTAAAAGAATTTATACTAGAGGTTTTATGTTCTAGTTGTAAATTTAAGCATGGTTCAGTTTTGGTTATGTTTGCAGGTTGTGAATTTAACTTGGGGGCTTGCTTGGTTTCATTTCATATTATTGGGTTTGTTTTGGTTGGTTTGGCTTGAGCAGAAAGAGTACAAAAGATGATGCTTCATGTAAATTCAACAATTAAATAGGAGATTTTTGTTTTCAATTTGTTAATTCTTGAGATACTTGGTCATTTTTTGAGATTACGTGAAATAAAAAACATGTATTGAATATTATTGTATACGAGACCATGTAATTATTTTGATACCATTAAATGAAATTTTAGTTCAATTTACTTGAAAACTTTGGGATCTTAAGCAAGATACGGCAGTCATGTATACGACCGTTTTGAAACATACAAGACGACAATGTAAGAGTGGTTAATTTTGACGATATTCATAGTTGCTTCCACTCCATTATAATGTCATGTAGATTATAAAGTGGCAATAGATGACAGGACCCGAGCCAAATTCCACTTTGGAATTTGCGCCGAATCCTGTGCGTGTAAACCCTGACTTCAAAACCCCTCAAAATTGGACCAAAATGCTCAAACAATGGTCACCTGATGCCAAGACATGCTGTCATGTTCAGAAAAGATGGTTTTGTTTGGGGTTTGTCTAGGTTGCAGAAGGGATTCAAAGAGAGACGGAGTTGGGGTTTGGATTTGGGTAGAGGAAAAAACAAAGAGGAAGAGGAAGAACTGGGTTTTGAGGGCAAAGTTGTGCGTTTTGTAGGTTGTTCTTGTTCTTGTTCTTTGTGGGAAGAGGTTGTAGTTAGCTAGATGGGGAGAGAGAGAGAGAGAGAGAGAGAGAGAGAGGAGAGAGAGAGAGGAGAGAGAGAGAGAGAGAGAGAGAGAGAACTATGAGATAGAGTTGAGAGAGAGAGCTGAGAAAGAAATCAAAAACTGACCAAAAGTGTTATATGGCCGATAAGTGGGCAATAAATATATATTTATCAGTGATATTTGTAAAATTTATGGGGAAATGTGGTGTTTCCAGTTTAAATTAAAAAAATGGTGGCATTAAGTGCTATTTCCCCAAAATTTAATATGGTAGCTTTGTCCCATTTCTAAAAACAAACAACAAAGGCAATGACAGAAAAAATGAAAAGTAAGACAGCGTTTGGTATCCTACCCAAGTGGAGAACTCAAAAGTTTATATTTTTCTTAAAAATAAGGAGTTTAAAAATTCATTTTTAAGATTTAAAAACTTGTTTGGGATAAAACTTGAAAATTGTTTATAAATCTTAAACAATTTGAGCAAGAGAGAAGACATGAAAAAAAATTATAAATAAATAAAAAACCATACTTTCTCCATTTAATTACTTATGTAGAATTTATTTTATAATTGATCAAATTAGTGTTTTATTATTTACTCCTATTATATTAATTTTCAGGCTTTTAGCACTTTCGTTAATCAAAGGTATTTTTTTGGAATTTTGAATGTTTTATCATTCTATTCCTTTTGCTTTATATTAAAGAAACGCAATAAAATGGAAGAATTGTGCATGCAAGCAACCAGCAATGGCGACTTTGAGATTTTAGGGGCCTTGTGCCAAAACAACAAGAGGGCATCCTAAAATAAAAGCTTCCATGAACAATTATAAAAAAGAATCAAAGTCTTGTGATCATCAAATTACTAATTATCAATAACCAATAAAAAAACAATAATATACAAAATATAGTGAAAACAAAATATGAGAATTTGAGAGAGAGAGAGAGAGAGAGAGAGAGAGAGAGAGAGAGTTGAAGGGTTGAAGGGTTGAAAAAAAAAAAAAAAAAAAAAAAAAAAAAATTGTATAATGGAGGTCTCTTATATTGGGCAACATGAAAATCAATATTAAATAGGAATAGGAAAATCAACATTAATTTTATTCTATAATATAGGAGAAGCCAAAGTAATAGATATAATAAACTCATATTAATAAAATAATATTTATTATGGAGCCTAATTTTTCTTATTTTGTATTGAAAGACAAATGAAAAGTGAACATTAATGTTATTAAATTAATATCATTACTAAGCTATAACAACATTTTAATGTAAATTAATATTTAATATGAGGCGCCTTCAAAGTGGAGCTTTGTGCGATCGCTCACTTTGCTCCCCCAAGAACCATAAAGATGCACAACTCTTTTCTGTTCACTTCTTCCCTTGGTTATGTTTGATTTAAAAGTACAAAGGTTCAAGTTTTCTCTTTCGCAGGAAGCATAGTGCACTCCCAGATCATAGTTAGAAAGCATGATGAAGATGAAGGGTCTTTTAGGTAATCAATATCCAAAGTCAAAGCTAACGCACCGCAAGTTCGCCGCCGAAATAATTCGCACAAGCATAAATGGACGTTCATGTTATATATATTTTCATTTTGAAACATTTGATCCGAGCTACTACCTGCAAACAGCAATCTCTCTTCATGATTTAGGATTTGTACCTATCCACGGTTCCGTCAGACATAAAAGAGGAGGAGGAGGAGGAGGAGGAGGAGGGGGAAGGGGGGGAAATCGAATTCTGTTTGTTAGCGCATGGCTCTGCTAACCATCAACCATTTCCTCTCTGTGTCTATCAGAATATGTTTGAAATCATTTGGGGAACATTTTGCATATTCTACGGGGATAAATATGGTCATGGAATTGTAAGAAAAATCCAAGCTGTCATTTAATTTCTAGTAGGTCAGAACACAAGAGTTGCTACCTTTAGTTTCCTATGAACACTGAAAATTGTACGATTACATAATGGAACAGAAAGCATTAGATCTATGTCGCTTCACATTGCCGTCAAAATATAGCTTATACTAATATAGATGAGTATGTTGGCTGAATTTGGATTATGCTAATTGCTTTCTCTTTTTCCTTTGAATAATGAATAGCCGGCCGCCTAGCATGCACACCCTCCTTGCTGCTCTGTGTGGGATGAATTAATCGTCGGCTTCAGGTTTACATCGACCATGTCTTCCTGTTTTGTTGAAGAAAGGGATTCCATCCCTGGTAATGCAGCAGCAATCTTGCGGAATAAAGGCTGCAATTTTGCAAACATAGTAGTCATATGAAAAACGTGAGCAACCAAACCAAAACAAACCAAGAAACACTTGCATAGATATCATGATAGTTATCATGTACATGTACTAGGTAGAAAAAGTCCTAGTAGGAAATATACCAAAAATAAACTATAATATATTTATGTAGATTTTCCGTACAATGCCCATCACACAGTTAAATTTCATCTTAAGTTTATTTATTTTACCTTGATATTAAATCCTGCTTTTGCACTAGTTTCAATGAACATGACTCCAAACTCACGAGATTTGGAATCCCCTTCCTCTATAGAGACTTGTCTGTTTGATCAACAAAACCACAAGGTCACAACACTTTCAAAATTGATAATGAGAATAAATGAACTATTGTGTCTAGTTTAACTTTAATTAACTGAATAAACTCAACAAATCACTAACCATACTTCTATTCATGAATTCCAGTGCACTGATTTCCATGATGGTGAAACAAAAAGTAAAAGGAAATGCATTACAATGGAATATTTTCTCTGCATATTTTCTCTGCATTGTTTCTTATGCTTGCAATGAGGGCTGAATCAAGAAGTTCAGAAAAGGTAATAAAATACAGCAGAAATTGTTGGAAGAAATGAAGAGGTTGCAAATGCATGTATTCAAGACGTTGCTCATGGGATGCATGTATTCAAGACATTGCACTTGAACCGCAGTTTAACTAAATCCGGACGTCCAGAAAACAAAAGGATTTTGTGTGTATGTAGATACATATATATATATATGTATATATATCTCGGATAAATTGCATGATAATAAAACAGGAATGTTATTGTATTACAGAAACCACGACCAAAGGTGTCCTGCATTTCTTAGTGTCTTCACTATGAATGGTAAAGGTTCACTTACAGAAGAAAAAACTTCTCTCATCCATGTTTGATGACGTTTTGGGTCTATATAGAACCAAAGGAGATACATATGTCAAAGTGCACTAAGATGGACAGAAACTGAAATTATTAATCAGCACAAGTACTACATTTTTGTTTGCACAATGAAGAGGAGGGGTATTAGTTTGGTGCATTCCTCACCTTTTATCAACGAGATCAGTTTTGTTCCCCACAAGCACGATAATGACATCAGTTCCTCGTTCTGTTCGTACTTCCTCTATCCACTTATTAGTGTTCAGAAATGACTGTCTATCTGCATGCGACAATTCAGTCAGGAATTTGGAACACAAAATGTCTGTAAAAGGAGTAGAGATTAAGGGTTGCATAAATATAAATGAAAATTTCACGTTGTAAGGGCTATGTAATGATACAAGAGAGCAAATGTACACGATGTGCACCCATGCATACAGAAGCAGAAGGAAAGAAATGGTTTTCTGTCTATTTAATTTCCAACCATCCATTTCTTTTTCCTGTCATCGGAACAAAAGTGTTTAGTGTTTACTAAAAATAAGGATGAATAATGACAAGAGTTTTCTAGTTTTCAATTAGAAAATGGATTTCATGTTGAAAAAGGAAACTTTTGAATTTACAATATGATTCTAAAAGGCCCAACTTCTCTTGATCAAAACTCACTAGCTACATCATAAACAATCACTGCAACAGAGGAATCCCTGATGTAGCTTGGAATGAGACTCCTAAATCTTTCTTGCCCTGCAGTATCCCTGTAAAGTTAAAAAGCCATGTTTCAGGAGGGAAAAAAAAAGATAAATAGCAAACTAAAGAAATATATACATCATGTACACAAACATGAACTCACAAATCAACAGGTGTGTAGCAGTAACAAGCCCTAAAGTTTGATCTACCAAATGGTCATCAAAAGAACCATGAAGCAGAACATACACCTTTTTCTGTCGAACTTTGTATAAATAAAAAATGCACTAATTGGTTTACTAATGGGGAGCTCTATTCTTTCAAGCAGAGTTGCCATTCACTTTTTGACCATATGATGCACCACAATGAAGATCTTAACCATTGTCATAATCAAGATTTCAGCCCCATGCAAGCTTAGTGTAAGAAAAACTTAGAAAACTTGCCACCTTCCAAATTGTTCCTCAAGATAATTTCAGAATAGAAAGAAACAAGTCATTTTTGTGATCCATATGGATGCGATGCAACCGCCGACTCACTTGTAAACAACAAACAATTGGATCAGCCTCAAACAAATTGACACCCACCCACCCACACACACACACACATATATATGTATATTGTCATTAAAACCTTCATCCTAATTCACTACAAAACCATTTACTTAAGCAACCATAAATCACAAGGAACCTGGATGCATCCTTACCAAAGCTGCAAACGAACTGTCCGATCTTCAAGGTACATCGTTTTCGACAGAAAATCAATCCCAATCGTAGCCTGCAAATCCAATATACCCAAAGTCACACAAAAGAAATTAAAATTGGGCGATCGGAACAAGAACTCACCCAAATAGAATGAAATGGTGAAGGGGATGGAAAAATACCTGATAGGTGGTATCAAATTTGTCGTACATGAAGCGGGTGATGATGCTGGTTTTTCCGACGGACTGATCGCCCAGGAAGACCAGCTTGTATTTAGCCAGAGGAGACACCGTCGCCATTTTCAAGATTGTTCAGCTCCCTCCCACGTTTCCTTCTTTTGTGGATGTTTGGATCTGAATCTCAGAAGAGCAAAGGGGAAAATGACTTAACGCTTTTTTTTTCTTTCTCTCTTCTTTGTTTTTCCTTTTTCGTGTTTTTGAGTTCAGCGTTTTATATAGGGTGCCGAGGAGAAACCGCCAACCGCGACGAAGACCAGCAAAAGTCAGATCTTTGATATTTGGTTTGGTGCCCGAATTTGCCCCTCCTCTTTTGTTGAAATTTCGGCCGTGTCTGGCATTACCTTGTTTTTCCTTTTTTTATAAATTTACAATTGTCGCTTACGAGATTTTCTTTGGTTCATGCATTCCACAATCAACTTCACATGCCCCTCCTCATGTATTTGTACACGTAGGATACAGAGCTAGTATTGTATATGTGGGCAGCCGAATCATAACAATTTATGTATAAGACACCCTTAAAACTACAGTTCTACATCTTAAATTGATGAACACGAAATTATAGTAGTTATATATGCAAAGTGAAATATAAGGGGCGAGTTGAATCAAAGTAACATTTAGAGGGCAAAGTGAGATTCCGGACATTTTTCCGCAGGACAAAACATTAATTAAGCATATGCCAAGGTTCTCTTTCCAAACCTTCAATTCTTGAGCTCAAAGAAAGGTCATGTGTATTTTACACCAACATGTGCATGGATGTGTCACCACGTCATGCATGCACGACAAGTTAGGAGCACATGCACAAGTACAACTCATCCACGAAAGTGAAATCACAACACACTAAAGAAATAATACACAAGTTAGGAGCGCATGCACAAGTACAACCTCAACCACATACACATACAAGGGATATCTGTCAAAAATCACATTACACTTAAAAAGAAAGAAAATTTTATTCAAAATTTATTCAACACAGTTATTGCATTATTCAAAATCTCATCACTTAATACCAAAAACTAAAAGTAAAAAAAATGGGCAACGAGAGCTAGCCCAATGAAAAATGACCTTAATTTACATACTAGTAATCTAAGGTTCGAACTCCCATGACATCTTGATAGTGTGTGAAAACTTCATCCCCTTAATAATTTAGACCATCACTTTTCACCAAAATGAAAAAAGATCTCGTCTAAAAAATCCATAAGGATAGCTATACAGTATTGTCCACTTTCAGTTTGACATTACTGTGTTGTGAAAATAATCGTTGTCAGATTTACTATGCTAGAAATCAATTGTGAGAGAAAGCTGTTTGGCGTTTGGTAAACTTTTGTTAAAAGTTTTGTTGATACTAATTCCCGCATAATCAGAAAATGATTCATGCATAATCATTAAACTTAGTACATCTTCGAAACTGATTTCCGTATAATTAGAAAATGAAAGTATCTTATTAGCTGCTTTCCTTTATAGATTTTTTTCATAGCAATTTTTAACAATAAGTAATTTTCTCATAGTTTACCAAACGGATTGGACTTTCCAAAATTTTAAAAAAATCACTTATCACCCAAAATAAGCAATGTCAAACAGGCACTCAAATCTGTCAACCATTTACAATCAGGATAGCTATAGAAAAGGGCAATGCTTTTGTGGATACGCGTATTTGGTTTGGGAATTTTTCTGAGGAGGTGTTACTTAGATTGTGTTGATTTGTATGGGTTAAAAATCCATCGAGGAAATATTAATCCAACTTCTTTCGCATTGTTCTAGAGAAGTGTCATCCACATGCAACATTAGTAGACTAGATGTTACATCAACTCATACTTGATTATTCTTTGTGACCAAGAGATTCACAAAATTATGTAAGAGATTGTCTATATTCATAACCACACAACCATCTGTTGGTTGCTTCCATACTTACATGGCCGATAACTGACCTCTAAGAATAAGAGAGCCCACATTCCATGTCTCTTTCATAACACATTAACCAAATTAGTCTCGTGTCACAATCAGATCATGCAACAGTTAGAGGGCACTCCACCAACTCTCTTAAGAGTACATTGATCACAACCACAGACTCACTTCTCATGCATTTATTCAGATCACATCCCATTTTCTTATATCATGTTATTCATCCAAATGAAGTGTCACTCAAAAACATATCCAGCGAAGGAGTCAAGTCACCATGAAGAAGTCTCAAACTCTACCACAAACTCCTGAGAGCGATTACGAGGGCACTCAAAGACAAAGCGTCGTAATTCCTTCCAAACACATCACCATAGCAAATAGCTTCGAAAAGAAAGAACACTCCTGGTACAACTACAATTGCATCATAGAATTGGCAAGAAACCCATTTTTATCATTAAAGATCTATACTATACTGCTCGTAGAGAAAATCTAGGCTAAAATATTATTTCTTTTGCAGAACATTCAATAACAACAGATTTGTGCACCTCCATATCCTATTCAACTGTTTCTCATCCTTCTCACTCTTTATTTTGGTGAATTCATGCAGGTTTATCACTTCTCATGTCCCAACAGACCTAACAATTCAAGTTCAAGATGTCACCTTTAACGTTCACAAGGTAACTACAGATCAAGACAAACATACTCAATAAGTTGATACCTAAAAGAGCTCATAAAACTTTGCATACAAGAAGTTTAGAGAAAATTGCAAGCAAAACCAAACTTCTTACATAATACACAATTCCAGTACAAATATACATAAACCACCAGAAATATTAAGTTCATCACATGCCTTCAATTTATGATCATAGTTATTCTAATAGAGATGCTAGGTTACATTCAAGATGATGTTTTTCCCAAACAGAACTGTTATTTGATCCATGTATTATAATTCAGAACAGTTACATACACCACATGCAAGAATTTTCCAGTGAATTAACCAGTACGTCCTGTCATCAAGGTACACTGAAATAACAGAGTACTTAGGAACCCTCCCTTTCTTTCTCCTCTGTTGAAAATATCTTTGTGTGGTTTCATAATATCAGAGCCATTTATTTTCCTCTTCTACATCAAAGCAAAACTAACCGTCAAAAAGCACATTTTCAAGTGAAGCTACTAGAGTGTTCTCTTTCTCCCTTTCTGCTTGACCATGGGACAGCCATATAACTCTTTCCTAGTATCAATTCCTATAACTTATGTGCCAATCAAGGTAAAGTCAATCTAAACACTATACGCTACACAATACTCGGTGCTTAAATTGAATCAACCAATTTTTTATTTTAACCACAATGTTTATGCCTTCCTATTTTGCACATACAGAATGCATGCCATATACTTTTAAAAAGAAAATTATCTACAAGGAGAACACACAGTGATTGAACCCAACAATTATAAAGCAATGATAGGTGACTGCATCACTTCCTACATTTGGACTTCATACAAATTATTGACAAACTTGCACACTAGCTTGAATGCCACAGCATGAACTTTGTCTTATGAATTCAATTTTGTACGGTAAATTTCATAGGAACTAAATAATAATATGCAACCAGGGGAAAACACACGTATAAAAAGTACTCAATTGGTTCCTGTTTCATTTCCATTTCTTTTTACAGTATCCCTTGATATCAAAATGCGGCTACATTGGTGGATTGGAATTTCAGCCTTCAATTTCAAATTTCGGCTATGACCTCAAGCTTGAAAGCTTCCCAGGTGGATCAGAAACCTTTGAAATCATTTTAAAATTTTGTTACGGTCTTCCAATGGACTTGAACCCTAACAACATAGCACCACTAAGATGCGCCTCAGAATTTCTAGAAATGACAGAAGATCTTCAAGATGGAAATCTCATTTCTAAGACTGAAGCTTTTCTCACATTTGTAGTCCTTTCTTCATGGAAAGACACCATTACTGTACTTAAATCTTGTGAAACTCTATCTCCATGGGCTGAAAATCTTCAAATTGTCAGAAGGTGCTGTAACTCAATTGCTTGGAAGACTTCCAGAGTAAACATTATCGGAGATACAGACTGTCAAGAAGGCTGGTGGTTTAATGAAGTGGCTACCTTTCGAATAGATCATTTCATGAGGATTATAACAGCAATAAAGGCAAAGAGTACAAGACCAGAAGTTATAGGTAAATGTATCCTGCACTATGCAGAGAGATGGTTGCCAGGCATGGATGTGGAGTTTGAAGGACTAAGAGGATACGGGTTCGGAAAAAATGACCTCCAGTTCAGTGTATTGAGTAGGTGTAAAGAGGAAGGGGGTTACGTACACAGCAAGGAGCAAAAAGCAATTATTGAAAGCCTAGTGAGCGTACTTCCTCCTAAAAATGAAGCTGTTTCATGTAAGTTCTTATTGAGGATGTTAAAGATGGCCATGCTGTACTCTGCATCACCAGCTTTGATTTCAGAGCTTGAAAAGAGAGTGGGGATGATGTTAGAAGATGCCAACGTGAATGATCTGTTGATTCCTAGTTGCAATAATGCAGATCAAGGGAAACTAGTTAAGTGAGTATTCTACATTCTTTATTCAGTCAGATTCAACAACATAATTACAACAGAATCCTTCGAAGAAGTCAATTGATAACCAACACTCTTGTTCTTGTTAATTTTCATAATGTGTAGTACAGTTCACCTGAAGAATGCACAATGCACAATGCACGACACTGAAGTCGTGCAAAGGATTGTGGAATATTTCTTGATGCATGAGCAGCAAGGACAGCAACAGAAGACTGCTAGAATCAATGTTAGTAAGCTGTTAGACAACTACCTAGCAGAGATTGCTGAAGACCCAAACCTCTCCATAACCAAGTTTCAAATATTGGCTGAATTACTGCCAGAAAATGCACGGACATGTGATGATGGTCTCTACAGAGCCATTGATACCTACCTCAAGGTTACTTTTTCACCTGTTTCTCTAGTTTACACCTAAAGCAATTTATAACCTAAAATCTAACCCCTTTTTTCAGACCCATCCTTCACTACCTGAGCATGACCGGAGAAGGCTATGTAGAATAATGAACTGTGATAAACTATCGCTTGACGCATGCATGCACGCTGCACAAAATGATCGACTGCCTATGAGAACTATTGTCCAGGTAACATTTAAGAATCACACAAGAGGTTAAAACATAAATTTTGTATCATTGGTCCCTGCTGAAAATTAGTTAAAGATTTTAAGATATCAGTTATATTCTTAAGGAATCTAGGTCTTTTATCAAGACATATTTAGTGGCTTGCATTTGAATTAAATTATAAAGATACTTAAAGTTTATATGTAATAACAGGAAAAAGAAATGCAACCCAAGAACCTCTACCAACCACGAGCTAAGGTATTTATAATTTATACGCAGCATCACAAGGACACTAATAGAGAGGCTTTTGAGAAGAAGAAAATCAATGAGAACAAAAAAGGAAAAAGATTAACTATTACTACAGACTGTAATAAGCGCCCTTTTTGTTGTTGTGTAGCATTATTTTTTATGCACATTGAATTCATACTACAAACACATTTGAGTATTTTTTCTACCTCCTCTATCTCCTCTATTTTTTATGCACATTGAATTCCCCCTTTTTATGACACCAAAAAATTTCAGAAACCATAATGCTTCTGAAAAATGGATTTCACAAAGGCATTCCTCTAAAAAGGGAAATAAAATTAATAGAAGATAGACCCTTAACTTAAACAGATGTAAAATCCTCACAAAGGCATACACAATTAACTGAGCATTTGAAGACCATTTCATTTATCAGACATGGACCCCTTAATCTCAGTTCCAACCAGTATGTGTTCCATCAAAATTGGCATTTCTCACTAGAGGAAGAGAATATGAAACATGTGCAGGTGCTTTTCTCAGAACAAGTAAAGATGAGGACGGCGATGCAAGAGAAGGAATCACAAAGTGGCAATAACTCTGAACAGGAAGGGAACTACTCATCAACAGATGCAGAGATTAAGAATCTAAAAGCAGAACTTGAGGATGTAAAGATAAAGATGGCAGAGCTGCAGAGTGACTACTCTGAGCTGCAGCAAGAGTATGAAAGGATAGGCAGCAAGCAAAAGAATGTGTCGGGTTGGAGTTTGGGATGGAGAAAAATTAAGAACTCTTTCCATGCAAAAGTTGAGGGCAATGAAACTGGAGAAGGCCAACAAAGACCCAACCCAGCTGGCAGAAGACCCCCCTCCAGACGAAGGTCATCCATGTCCTAAATTATATTAATCTAGGAAGCCAAGACACCCCATACCATATGAGAGTTAAAAGCCTTTAAGAACACCATATCAACTGTCTTAGGGATAGTTGATAGTTTGTTATTGCTTGCCTATCCATAATGTATACATAAAAATAAATAAAAAGTAAAAAAAGTCTGTAGTTTTCCTATTCTTACACATTAATTTTCTCTAAAATAATTCTGCCTCCTATAGAACGTCTGGCAGACTACATCCTTTGCTACAACTACAAGCTCTACAAGCTTTCAGCAATGGGTCACACGAGATGCTCAAGCAGCAACAAGTTTCTTCGGTCGAATATAATTAGAGGACAAACAACTTTTATGCTAAACTTTTGGAGGAGTACTTGGTCATTTTTTCTGGTTACATTGATTATCAATCAAACAAAAACAAAAAATTCGTGCATGTCATATGTCAAATAATCCTATTAGAGGAGATAGAAAAAAATACTCAATGCAAGTTTCCAATATGCTTCTATCCTCAACAATTTCAAACTTCACAAGTACTAATCACATATGAGCTTGCACAATTATTGGTAAAGTAAAAGATAATAACCATAAATATTATACTATTCTGCTACTTGAAAGCTAAATGCTCCAGTCCTATTGAAAGGTCTTCAAACATGGCCACAAGTTTTCACCAAACTTCAAATATCATAAATTTCAAAATCTCAACAAAAAACATAAACCCAGTTCCAAAAGTCTTCAAACCTGCCTAGCGAAACCTCATGGTGCTCCAGGGAAATTTGGCCACACCGTCGCCGAAAACAGCAGAACCCTTGTCGTTCTTAACCCTCCGAGGTTCCTCCTTGTCCTTCCCGTAAAGCCAATGCTTCTCAGTTTCACCTTCTTCGACGACGCTGGACTTGGATTGCTTGCTCGTCTGCTTCCTCTCCTGTTCGACGACTCCAATCGGGTAGAGGTCCTGAGAGAGCGAGAGCGGGTTCTTGAGCGTGACGTAGGCCTTCTTGTAATTGGGTCTGGCGAACAATAGGCCACCGCGCTTCTTCTTCTTGCCCTCCATGTTGAGCGTACGGACCTTTTCGACCTGGAAGCCGTAGAGAGATTCGAGGACGCGCTTGATTTCGACCTTGGAAGCTGATGGGATGGTTTTGAGAGCGATTTCTCTGATGTTAGTGAAGTTGGTGGGCATTAAGAGCTTGATGGGTAGGTTTGCGAAGTGAATTACCCTCCTCCCCAATCTACTTCCCATGACTGATTTTGTTTTCTGTCTTCTTCGTTCCCTTCTCTGTGATTTTGGAGAGTTTTTCGGATTGATTTTGAGAGGAGAGTGGAGATGGCGCTGCCCTGCCCTGCCCTTGTGTCAATTCTTCACTTCCTCGGTTGCCATTTCTCTTGAAGACCACTGCACTGGGCCGGGCCTAATTTGGTGATCGGCCCGAAAACTAAATCCGAATCCGATACGAATTTTATTCTTCAATTAAATACAAAAATTCTTCATTTCTTCTTTGGAGAAATGCTATAATTAGGTTACCAATGGGGTGTTAGTTGGATTGACCTAAGTCTTTAGTGTACTTTCAAGTGGTCATGGATTCAAGCTTCCATAGTACCCGAGTGTGAGTTTTCCCTTGCCCTTCCTAACTTTGACAAATAAATGAATGAATAAATAAATACATATATTTTGCTACAGTTAGGATGGGCAATCGGTAAGCATTAGGTGTTAGGAGGTAGTTGTGGTAGTGTTGGTGGAGATAATGGTGGCGATGCGAATCTGGTAAATTGGGCACTTATGTCCGACGTATTTCATTATCATCGCGGACTTCATTGTCAAATGAATGACCGTACTACTCTTTCTTCCTCCTTATGATAATAGCTCATGATGTTACCGTCTAGGAATTTTTAATCCAACACCTTGGACGGACACAACTCCTTTCTCTCTCTTTTTTCGTTGTATCGGATAAAATCAAAACCTATTCTAGTACTAACTTAACACATTACCCCCACCCTACCTTGCCACTTCGGCTAACCTTAATGGCCTTAAACACAACTCGATGGACCCTTCACTGCTAGGTCGAGAAGCAAAAATAGCGGCACTCAGAATTGTTATATGATCGTGGGCCTTGTGGGGGCACTTTGTTCTAATCTGAAGTTTCATTTTGTTCTAATTCTATTCGATATCCAGCTACTTACTCCACAGAAGCAGAATCATGCAATGATTAGTATCATCTAAAATATCTTCATGTATAAATTGTACTATTACAGCAGGAAACAATTACAATTACCTTCATATCAATGATTGTGTGACAGGTCAAAGAGGTCTTTCACAAAATTAAAGACCCCATTCAAATGTTTAAGCCACATACAATGCGCAATTGCATTCCTTAACTAGGAGGTAAAAGCTAATAAATTTCCATAACTCTGCCATCTTGGCATCTACCAGTTCCAGTAAGTCCAACCATTTAAAGCCCTTAGTGATAAGGGCTAAAACAACTCCGCTGATGTTGCGATAGGATTTACAGTTCTTTCCTTTTAACTCGGTATGGATACTTCTGGTATATCGAAATGCTGCTAACCACAAGAGGAAGAGCTACAAGACAATACAATGAAGGTGGTTTCCCTTCAAAAATGAACTGCAACAAAGCCGTAACAAGAAGTGCAGAAACAATGACGAACCCCTGCAACCATAGTAGAAAAAGCTTCTGCAGTAAGTATATTTAGAACTGAATTGGCCTTGCAAGAACAACAAATGTATAAGAAATTCAAGTAAAGATGGAAACAAGTTATCTTCCCAGCCATGGTGAACAAAATGATCAGTCAACAACACAAGTGTATGCCAAAGGATAGATTGATCTGTATATTTTGTCAGATTTTAAAACAATTATCAATGAAGGTTAGCATGAAACTTAAGCGCTAACAGGATCAGATTCAGCTGCCTTTCCATGTTCCACAAATAAAGCAGATAAAGGTAACCTGGCTATTTTTTCTTAAAGTAGGTAGCATGTTCATTCAAGCGGTCAAGCATAGGAGTAAATCAATACGTCATTTAGGATTTATTTTTTCTTCGCTTTCAGCCTGTCTGTTTGCAACAAAATATCAAACAAAGCTTATAGTGAACTTGAAGCCATCTGATAATATCTGCTCTTGTTATCCTTAGTTGTTAACTTGCCTTTTTAACGCCGCCGGCATAGCTTGTGACTAGACCAACAAGAATTCCACCAAGGGCATTGGATATGACTGGGATCTGGAACAAGGAAAAAAACCAAAAGAAACTATTTGTAAAGGCACACCATAACCCATGCAACATATAGTCAACAGCAAAGAAATTACATTTTTTTTCTTTGCCAAGTATAATTTACAAAAAATCCATCAATCACTATCCAAAATACAATTCTTGACAATATTTATCAAAATTGTATATCTTCTTATCTTGGTGAAGTGGGGTGTTTCAAATACAATAGAAAAGTAAACCCCAGCATGCACCATTTTGCTTAACATCTGACAATTGTCGCCCACCAATATAATCATATGATAAGATCGGTAAGTAGTGTTTTCAAGCAGACTCAAGAATTGTGTTTTGAAGACCCCCTGCAGTTGTTTTGTTACAAGCAGATGCACGCAAATAAAGAAAGCAAACAAAATAGGAAAAAGACTGTACCCAGGAAGAAAGAAAGAAAATGGGAAATAGAAGCTGTGCTGATGGATATCTAAATGACAGCGGACCAGAAAGGAGCAGCATGACCTTCCAAAATGTTTTCCTTTAGATGTAAACCATGAGCTGAAGACAAATAATAATTTACTTAATATGAACTAGATTGTGTTGTCTGCCTTCCAAACTAAACAATGGCTGTGGTGGTTTTGTTGAGTATGGAATGAGAGCTACTAAGCAATTAAAGAAACTCCAAAGGAGTCAAACCAATATGAAAAAACTATTGGAAAATGTCAATAGCATGATGATCATTACCCAAGTCATTGGAGTCCATCCATAAAAAAGGCCATGCTTTGCAATAGCTTCTCCATCTGGAGACTTAAAGGTACTAACCAACAAGCATAAACTTCCCACAATAGACATCTCTACAGTCATCAAGTATGATGAGTGTTTCTTAACCTGTAAAATAAAAGGAGGCGAAAATGATCGGAGAACCAAACAAACAGACTACAAAATAGTCTTTCAAAGTTCCAACCACAGAAACTGAAATGTTTTGCTAACCTGGGATGCCCATTGACACAAAGTGGATGCCAAACCTGAGAGTACAGAGGCAACCATGACGGGAATAATCCCATTAAACAATATTTGGTCAGAATTGCTAGCACTAGACCCTTTTTTGGAGCCTTCACCAAAACTTAAAAGAATAGCTGCCAGAATCAACAAGAAGAGAGCCCCAATTTGTTGGATTGATTGCTTCTGCCTACACATGACAGATTGCACCCAAAATCAGTCTAATGGGTACAGTCAGATGCCTCAGAACTCTCAAAATTTTGTCTTAATTTGTTCATCAAGTGTATTCAGAATTGCAATGGTACTGTAGCCTCATACCACAATAAAATCAGTCTAATAGGTAATGTCAGATGCATCAGAACTCTTAAAAAATTATCAAAACTAGTTGATTCATTAAGCATATTCAGAGTTACAATGTGTTGTAGCCTCATACCTCAGTATCAAATATGTAAAGAGAGCAGTAAAAATAATTTTAGTCTGGTTGAGCATTGAGAAGGTAAGTGAATCAAGGTTCTTGTAAGAAATCTGAAGCAAACTATTTTGCAGTGCATAAATGGCAGCGGGAAGGCCCGAAGCAGTTAAGGCACCAACCAAAGTCCACTCTTTGTACACTTTCTTCAAGCTACCGTCTCTTGCCATGAAAATTAGGGCACATACAACCTTGGCTATCTCGCATGTCAGAACAGACGACGTTACGATCACTTCTCTTCTGTAAGTACCAATCACATAAAATACATTCAAATTTCAGACTTGATGATTTTCTTATACAAATTTGAAGGATCAAGGCGTTGAAGTACCTGGTGCAGCGTTTGGAGATCAGGGGCTGAGCTCCGTATTGCAGAGTGAGTAGAAGAGAAAAGAGCCAAACCCTTGAGTTAATTTTCTCCGAGCTCCGCACTGGAGCTTTGTGCTTGGTGGCCGCCATTTTTGGCGACCTCGAGAGAATTGTATTTTGGTTCTAGTTTGGGGAAGAAGACCCGGCGCTGTTCCCAGTGAAATGGCGTCGTTTCAGAATACAAGGTCCTAATTCAAAGAGCATTTACGAAAAGAAAAGTACGAAAAAAATGGCGTCCTTTTTCACAATCCATGACTGCTTTTTGACCAAAAATACTCCATGACTTTTCTTCTTTTTGTTGGAGAAGAAAAAATGCTTCATAACAAGCATCGGATTGCCAGGATCCACAACCCCAATGTGAAAAATGATTCCATTACTTGTAAATAAGCTTATGTGACGGGACAATGTTATAATCACATCAAAAAAATTACTCAATTAATTACTCGTTTAAAATAATATGAGTTTACAAAGGATTTATTAGTGTAGTGGTTCAAAGAAATTGCTTCCCTAAGTCGAGTTTAAGTCCTAACATCTTTGTAGTGTGTGTGAGTTTAGTATATTATCACTAATCTCAATAGGAAATGTACTATAAAAAAAATCCCTCACTCCATAACTTGAAAAATAGTCCATAAATAAAAGCTTACTTGATATTATTATAGTCGGATCCTCTGCTATGATTTTCTTTGCCATGATTTGCTTGACTTTTATTCTCCACATGATACCTCATTTAAAAAAGTTTGATAAATCACATTTTTTTTTATAAAACCGAATTGATGAAGATAGACAAATAACAGTTTGAAACAAAAAACCTAACTGCTTTTTTTCATCTCTTTCTATTGTGGTTGCTTTAGTTTCACCATAGCTTGTTTTTCTCCTTTCTTTTGTTGGCTGTTGGTAGCTTTGTTTCTCCGATTGTGGCTGTAGGGCCTAGCCTATGTTTTTTCTTCTTTTATGTTTTTATCTTAGAATATTATCAATTAGACTGTTCTTGACCAAAAAAAAAAAAAAAAAAAAAAAAAAAAAAAAAAAAAAACAATTAAAAATGAACTTGTTTTGAAACAAAACAAAATCTCTCTCTCTCTCTCTCTCTCTCTCTCCTCTCTCTCTCTCTCTCTCTCTCTCTCTCTCTCAAAACAATCAAATAATCTATTTCCCCTTGTTTGCCATCCAATTTGAGAAGATGAAGAAGATTGCACTATCTAGGCAGATTTTTAATTTTGTTGAAGAAAGAAAGGGAATATGAGACCATTTAATTGTCATTTTAATTTCGTAGTGAGCTGATGTGATTATTGTAAGTGGACAATATCGCTCAAATTAATATAGTGGTAAATAGAGTATCATTTTAATAGGGATCAAGTTAATCTATTAAATACTAGAGTGATTTATTCCTAATTATATTTGAATTAAACAATAAGAGAAATATGAAAGTAAAATAAGAACAAGTAAACAATGTAAAAGATTGAACCAAGGATGATAAATTACTAGGACACCGATTTCACCTAGCTAATCCCCACTCAAATCCTTCTAGCTTGTTAATCCTAATTTACCTAACATGTTGATAATCGTTTTCCCTTACCTCAGCATGTTGATATACTAGTTGTGTTCCTTTCCTTACCGTCAACCCACTCTATTTCTAGTAATGGATTTAGATGGCTAAGAATCCATTAAGATTTGTGGAAAACACTAATGATTACACAAATCATATACCTACTCTTCCGAGTGGCTATGTAATTTATGGTACTTGTTACAAGAAACTTTTTATTAGGAATCTCCTTTCGGTCTCAACCTAATTCTTCCAATCATGCAATTAATGACCAATTAATTGAAAGCATTAAGAACGGTCACAAGCACTCAACATATATAGATAAATAAAATTAACATTATCAAAGAATTTGAGTATTCATAGCTAGGCTACATCATAGCCCTAGTAAAAGAAATTAGTTCATGAAGGACTTATTAAGAAACACAATGGTTGATGAAGACATGGAAGGCACCGAATTCTCCAAGTTGAACATCAAGGTTGCGCAAGCTCTCTTCATATTCTCCTTACAATGTTTCAGCTCTGAGTATGAATGTGTAGGAATTTGATGGCATAGCATTCTCTTTAATAGTGGCCAATTCCCCTTATATATAGTATTCTTAGAAATCTTACATATCTAAGGTATAATTACAATTATTATAAAAATAGGATTCCTTCTAATCTAGGGTTTTCTTGATTTCTCATTGTTTGACTTGGTAAGATTTGAACCATCTTGAACTAGGAAATTTGACAACATTCCTTGTGATGAAAGGAATGACTTGGCTTCTTTCCAATTAATCTTCGATCTTCATCTTCTTGCCCATTTTTAGCTCAATTTCTCATATTCCACAAATTCTTCACAAATCTCACAAAACAAATTAAACAAACAATTTAAATCAAGGATAACAACAAATAAATAGGTAAAAGAGGTACAATATATATATATATGTGTATATATATATATATACATACTTATCAAATACCCTCAAACCTATCTTTTGCTACTCCTTGAGCGAAACGGAAAATTAAAATAATTTAAAACAAAAAAAAACTAAACTAAACCACTTTCGCAAGTAATCTCGATGACACTTAGTATGTGCCACAAGCCTTTAAATCTATAGGTGTCCCTAGTAGGAGGAGTTGTGTCTCCTAAGGCTTTACCAGTCACGATACCCACAAACGCTCATTGCAAAACAAATTCGTTAAAGCAGTACTTTCAACAAACTAATAAAACCAATGAATGTTTATCACAATTCCAAAATTAAAGTTATGTCATTACAAATAAAATGTATCATAGTGTAAAGTGTAAAACCAATATTCCAAGCCTTTTAACTTAAAGATAACCACACTCGGCGTGTATACAAATTAGCCTCACTTGATAACACTCAATTTTCACATAGAACCTAGTGTTACACTTACCCTGCATATGTGAATGAAGTTAGATGAAGAAATCAACACATAAAACACATATGCATCCAAAATGAATAAATAGTTTCTAGAAATAGATCTCATAGAAAGGAAATCAACTATTAAGAACTATAGATAAAGTACATACCTCCACTTCAAAGCAAGACGTCCCCAAAGATCCGTTAGGTCTTTATTATGGTTGTAATGTAAGGCTAGTTTATGAATTATGAAAGAAATGATAGGGAATATTAGAACTTGAGACATACCAAGACATTTATCTTATTATACGGCTTGGCTCTTCAAATTTACTTCAAAAAGACGTCCAGTATTTTTTATATGCTTTACTTTCTTGACTTCAACTTTGAATGCAATTTTTTTTAAAAAAAAACTTTATGCACATATTTCCTCGGTACATGCCACCTCTTTTGTTAATGTAGAGTTCAACCTTCATTCTTATCTTCATTTGCCATGGTATCTCCCAAGTTATAAAGTATGCCTAAAAATATGATGTAAATGGTAAGGAATAATGTGGATGATGAAAGAAAATGCTAGGTGTTTGGTATCAAAAGGGTTGGTGGCACACATAAGGGTTGGACATAAATTTATTTACTGTGTAGAACATGCATAGCCTAACAGTATCTCTTAAGGTCCATCCAACTCACAAGTTCTCAAAGTCTCTTCTAACAATCTAAAGATCAAACTCCAATTTTGCATTAAACATATATGTCTGAAAATCAATCCAAAACATCAATCAAATGAAACCAAAGGCAGTTTATAACCATTCCATGTCCTTTTTCATCTTGAAAAACAAAAAGTTTCAAAAAACTTCAACACACGAAAATGCATTAATATATAATCAAAAGCGGCATCATGTTGTTATCACTCTTATCAACAACCCTTCCAAATACATCATATCTTCCATAAACTAAAATGAAATATTCAAAATATTAATATGTATCTAAGCACAAATCATACATGAAACAACTTGTCATTGGTTCAAACCACATAAGAATTACTTTGTTTTATTTACAACTATACAATCGTGGCAATTAGTAACAATTTATCCCAATCAATTGTCAATTGATATAATTAGATAATTACCATGCTCTATTCACATAACCGAAACAATAAATTGGAATTTCAACATAAAAACGCACCTCTTGCTTAACATAACCAAAAATAACCACCAAACAGCTCTATCTAAAGCAGCTAAACACCACCTACAAAACATCAAAAGCAGATATGATTAAGAAAGAAGAGGGAAAAAAGCAAGGAAAATTGAAAAAATTGTAGTTTCTGATTTTCTAGTCCTAAAACTGTCCAAATATGTTTTTATGTGTAGTGTTTTTATACAAGATGCTTGAACTTTGTTACTCCACTACTAACACAAAAGAAAAATCCTAGAAAACAAATCCAAAGAGCCGTGAACCCCTAAAGTATAGCAATCCAAAAAAATTCAAGGCCAAAATATTTACTTGTTGTCAATCAAACTCATGAAAAATCAATTCCTTGTTTGGACCCCCAAATTTTTAATCACAAACTACATTCCTACAATAGATTTTGTTTGTGATAATGGTCGAAAAACACATGATTTACGATAAATAATGATTTTCAAAAGGAAATGAAGAAAAAAAAGAAGCTACTAATATACATAAATCAGATAATTTTCTATAAGCACATGACTTCAATATTTCAATATAATGCCTTTATACATGCACCAAGATGACTAAATAGATAGGTTATCACAGTATGAGAATACTAAAGAGATAACAAAATTTTCATTACTATTTGAAATGCTGCTCATATTTTTAACACCAACATAAATTTAGTTTTGTGTAAACAACTTCACAATCACAAATATCTATCAAGGAATTAACTTGATTCCATAACGATCAAACAATATGCATATACTAATGTCAAGCCTAGCTAAACTGATACGCACAGTTAGTACATTCGTCTCAAAACTCATAATCAATCAAGCCCACCAAGTCAAAAAATTAAGTGAAATGTTTACTGAGAACCTCAGGGGAAAAACAATCAAAAGGGGGAAAAAAAACTCATCATCAAAACATATTCTACTTCTATTTTTTGGGGCACTAAATATTACTTCCAGATAACCAACAATGCCAAAATCCCAACCCAACAAAAAAAGAATGAAACATAT